GTTCATTTTATTATCTTTATTGTTAATTAGCACATGACTTAAACAACCGCATGCTAAATTTAAAAGCCGATAGCTTATTAAGAGGCAGTGAGTAATAATCCAAATAGTCGATTATTCGTTTCAATACTCGATACATTATTCGATCAAAATAGTGGTTAGTTGGAGCCCTAGTGATACTGTGAGCAAGATTTGACCTGAGAGAGTAAACATCTGACAGTTAATGTGACCTGTAGTGACTGGATGCGGCAGGTGGCCTTTAAAAGACAGGTGTAAGCACAGCTAAATGGCACAGGGAAGATGAAAGGATGAGACAGTGAGATGGGGAGAAGAGGAAAACTGCCCCAGAAAAAAAAAAGTGTGATGAATTGCGTATGTTAGGTTATACCAACACAGCCTCAGCACTATTCTGCCAGATTACAAAAACAGTGACATCATACATAGCCTATTTGAAGTAGGCCTCTCTGTAAACACACAAATTAGACATTTAAGAAAGCAGACATCAGGATTAAGTCTGATCTACATTATCTTTGTCTAAGGTTCTTAACAAATTTTGGTCCAAGATACACTACACTAATCATGATAAAGACATAAATAATTTGTGCGAACCCTATCTGTTCAAAGTGGCTTATCTCCTTGAGTAAGTGCTAACATTAATATATGTTGTCCTGTTTCCCTCAAGTGTCTTTATGTTCTTTCTGGGATTCATCAGATTTAAGAGCTGACCCTAAGAGTCACCCGTCAGAATATGAGAATTATACAAGTGGGGAGACGCTGCCACTGTAGCGTACCACTGCATGTGAGTGAAAAGCTCGACCTGCAACATGAGGTTTAAAGAATAAGTCACTGTGTGTTTGTCTTGGCACTCCACTCATATCATTTCATAGGCCCAATCAAAGCGTGAGCTAAAAAGAAAGGAAAAATAAAAGAGCTTTTTATTGGACTAGGCTCCCAGACACTGCCAAGGGAATAGAGGCCTTTGTGCAGTTTTTTGTTCTCGCATCCTGGGACGCTTTGGTGTCTATCTGCAAGGAACTAATGTCTCTATGTCCTGCACTCGAGTTTTAAATAGTGCTTTTGTTAATGCATGTTGTGTACGGCGTAGCATATACCCTATAGAACGGGTGAACTTGATAAAGCTGATAGAAAATCTGCAAAAACGGTTCATGGACTCTGTGAGCTGATACGAATAGCTGCTGAAAATGGGTGTTGTGGTGCAAAATCTAAACCAAACTCTGGCCAAAACCTGTTCCAAGATCCCAGAGTGAGACAGAATGGAATGCTGCTGTCAGGCTCAGCAAGCGGGTCATTCGAGGACACGAGCATGCATGTGTAGCTATGAGAGTGTGAGAGAGAAGGAGCGTGAGGCTGTGTTGCGACTATCTCAATCAACTGAAAACACATACACAGACCCAAACAGCCAATAAAACAATACAAACAACAATAAAAACACCCTCATAAATTGGACTTGACTTATAGAGAGCAAATGCATTCATAGTCATAAATGTGCGCGCACATATAGCCAAGGGTGCCTAGAACCTATGCGCAAACTGGATGATTGAGATGTTAAAAAAAAACAAAAGTACGTTTCTAAAAGGTGGCTTGTAACTTCTTCTGCAGCCCAAATTTTGACATATTCCATAGATCCTGTTTACACCTGGAGTTAACATTTATCTTGGGTGATCCAATCACAAGTGGACAGCTCTAAATACATTAGTTAGTTAGCACAGTTAGCTGTGTCACTAGCGGTCCTACTAACGTCAGCTACCTCTGCCTGGACTAGGAGCTTGGAGCAATGGGGGAGAGTTGGTGTTTACGCCACTTTCGACTGCTGGGATGAGGAGGTTTAATAAAGTTCTATTAAGCTTTAAAGCTGAATGGACTAGCTGTACGACTAACAGAACTAACTAGCTAATGGCAGTTGGAGTTAGAGGTTACTTAAGCAACAAGTAAAGCTATCCATCCATCAAGAAACTTTATAAGTAAATTATTATATTACAAAAGTAAATAAAGGCAGAGAAGCCGGAGGACAACAGAGGAAAAAACAGAAAATGTTTTCTCCATAAAATGATCCTATTTCATCAAAATCAGTGAATAAAGTTCTGTTTCTCTACAGTATCAATGAGGCCCGCCCCCCAGAATCACTCCGCTCCAACAGTGTCTATCATTTTTTCAATCTGATTATTGTTTCATTTCTCAGGTTAAAAAACTACTGAACTGGACTGAACAAATAGGTTGTTACATTTACAAGTCTCTTCATTGGCATAATATCTATGGAAGATTCTCCTTCGTCTTGTTCTGCAGAAATTTCTGATTTATGAGCACTGCAAATGACTGAGCCAACAGAGGCAGTTCAGAAAGTCTGAATTTAAAGCTGTGGACTCTATGTTTGACTATTTTTTCTACAAACGTAAGAAGTAATGTGGTCTTACTGAGTCTTTAAATACACAGGGCTGCATTGGTGGAGGCGTACTGTTTAAGGTAGTGGTGAGACGATGAAATATGATCCAATAAAGCTGGTTTGAGTAATAGTTCCATGAGCTTGGAAGGTTATCTGAAGCCAAAACACTGCACAGTGGTTTATAATAGTATGATTTATAGTATATATATAATAGTAAGAATTTTACACCTCTGTTTGAACACAGCCAAATCCCTAAAACATTTAGTGACCCATTTAATTAATAAAGTTGTGTTAGGGTGTAATGCAAAAGTAATGTAATGAACAGTGTAGCTACTTTTCTTTTTTCATGTAATGACCCCAACAGTTAACATATTGAGGGGAAAAAACTCTACTGGAAATTACATAGAAACACCTGTCCTAATAAAATAACACAAAACAGTTTAACCAACAGACGGACAGCGTGAGAAAGAACTTCCTTCCCTAAAGCCTTGCTTCTAGACAAATATAATGAAATCATGAATGTGAAATTATGCATCAAGCATCCATATGTGGTCTGCAATGTTCATACACAGGCCAGCTCTGCTTTGATCGTGACTCTCTTGGATCTCAGAGGAAAGAACAGAGAAACAGGAAGGGCCCTTAGTCCAAAACATCCAAGACAGGGATGGGGAGAGGAGGGAAGTGGGATGAACAAAGACATAGACTGAGAGGACAGTAAAAACATCCAAGTGTTTGTGTGTGTTGCTAGGGTTGTGAGAGTGTATGTTTCTCATTAGTATATCATTATTGTGTCCAACTGTATGGCAGATTGTGATGTTTTCGAATGACAAAAAAGAAATTACTATGGTTGGAAACCCCGTCTGTGTGCTACTGAAATGCTCTACATATTCTGCTATTGAAAGATGTTTATTGGGTTTGTCAAGAAGCATTTATCCACTTGACAACATGAAAGCAGACTAACGTCATCAATTTGGAACATTTCTGTTACCTGGTCTTATAATTACATTTGTGAGGTGAAATAACTTCACAAATGCATCACTAGATACTCCATCATCTTTGTCAGACTTTTTAAAAAATGAATTGCAGATTTAATACTTGGTGGGTTCACATTTTTGAAACACTTCTTTTATAACTACTGCACATGGCTAATCCTGGGCAATAAAACAAATCTGTATTACACATTAAGAAGTCACACGGCAGGACAAGTCGCCAAGATGTGCTGCAAAGCACCAGCAATGGCAGGGAAGAACATAACTGCTAGCTTATAAACATAGATGTTAACAATGGTGGATTTAAATTTTAAATTTTAGATTTAAATTTTTATTTAAAAAACACCTTTGTACATTTTTGCAGAGGAAATGCAGTCAATGCATTTGTCAGAGCTCAAGCATACACACAATGTGCTTTGGTGATTAACGCAAGTGCTATAATTTCTGTGTCCGCAAGTACATGAGGGACCACTAGGGTAAGTGTCATTAGAGTGTGTACGTAAAGGCTCTGTGCAGACATCCATGTGCCTCCCATTTGTTGTGAAGCTACCAGAGTCCCCACCAATCTACTGCGCGTGTGTGGAACAAGTCTGCTAAGCCGACTCCAGAAAGTAGTATAAGCAGAAGTAGTCCGCGTCCGTGGCATCTGCAGCTGTCCGTGTACACGTCCGCTTTAAAATGTATTTGAGGCTTTTCACTGAATGTAAACTTTTGTTTGTTTTCAGGAGAACTCTACCGGGCACCTTTAAATACATAAATTGAGATCTTATATTTCAAAAGTAATATTAGAACAATACAAAGAATTTGATTATTTGATTTGTTCTGTATATACAGTACTGTATATTAAGTTAATATATAAGTTTTAGATATTTAGCACCTGTTTGTTATAATTGTTTAATCATATACCTGATGATATGTCTACAAAATCCCTGACTTTGTGCAAGTGTACCTAGAATAATTTATGCTGTTCTGAAGGCAAAGGGTGGTCACACCAAATTGATTGATGCATTTCTTCTAGTCATTCACTTTGCATTTTGTTAATTTATAAAAATGATCTATTAACATGTCTATTCTTGAAAGCATTCCTAGTTTACAGCATTTTTCAACACCTGTAGTATACAGTATGGTACTGTACTTCTGGCTTCTATTGCATGTTATTACTCCGTCTTTTTCTATGAGTCCTATCTAGAGTTAGTCAAAATAAAGGGGAAAATGGACAGAGGTAGGTGTGATGTTTGTTTGCCAGGTGAATGTGGCCATCATGAACACTGCATTGGTCAAAACAAGTAAAATATTCAGCAAAATACTCCTAACACACCAACATCAGGGTCGCCAAACTCCCAGTGACAGTACAACACAAGTGACATCAAGTCACCAAGGTTCACTACCCTGAATGACAAAAACGCAAACATTCAGCATCTGCCGGGTGCAGTCACATGGAATAACAAACAACAAAAACATGGATAAAATGATGACAACACAACACATATCTACCATGTATGGACATACTATGCACTTAAGTAAGAAGTGATGCAAATATGTGGTTTACAATCTACAACATGGATTAATTAGTGAATTATAACTCCTTTAGTTTAGCGTGAATGTGTTCTTACCTGTCCATCCTGACCAACATGTACCTGGTGGATCTGGAGATTTCCCTGAAATAGAGAATTCATATGTCATGCCAAAAGCCTGACGCCACATTATCTACACACACAATCATGTAGCTATTTTGACTAGCAAACATAAAGCCATGAAAAGATGCATCTTGCCCATTTCTTATCCATTATATTTGCCTTAACCTGAGCATCTTCACAAGGTGATTCAAGCTATTACATAGTGGACTCTCATGATCAACAAGCAAAGTGCAGCATAACAGTGTAAATATCTGAGAAGTGTCAGAACTGTTTTTTGATTCTGAGTATGCAGATTTGCCAAAAGAGTGTTTTTACATGATGACGCAAGAGTTGATAAGTGGATGAAACGTCCTTTTTTTTTTTACATATATCAACTATTCTGTCATTTCTGGCTACACAGAGTCTCCTCTAAACAAAAACAGATGCCCATACACACAGGCACAAGCCCATCGCTGTCTCATCAAGATGCAATGACCATCATAAAGTCGCTAAACACCCACATTGATGTTAACAAGACCACATGAGAGAGGACATCATTTAAGCCATATTTAGCCAATCCCAAGTTTCAGCTGTTTTCTCTTGCTAATTGTATTTCATGTATACACCAAGTGCTGCTGGAGCTGCCATATGGCCAGAGAGCAGTGTAATCTCTCAAACAGCTCATTTCCTTTTCACGCACGCTAAAACCAATGTCTTTGATGAAAGGGGTCCGTTCCTAATGAAAACATATTCCATGAGTGGCAGTTGGGAAAAGTGGGATTTTGTTGCTAAGCTTTGAACTCCAAAAACAAACAATATCATGGAATAGGAAGGAGAGAAGAGAAGAAAATCTGGGCTCAGCCACAAAGAGCAGGAAAGACTTTAGAGCTTATCTGCCTCCAATTCACTCTGTCTCTCTCACTCGATCATGCATTTCTACCTCTGAGTGTCCTTTAGCACAAGTGAATGGCAAATGAGAAAAACACTTGGTCTAGGTGTCAATTGCTTTTGCACAAATGTCAAGCTGCCTTGCATGTGTGCCACGTACATATACAGTATGTGTTTACATGTGTATGTGGGCACAAAGACTGGCGCCTTGAAATAAATCCCTCTCCCACATTCTCGAAAAAAAAAATCACTAACAATGACGCTGATGCGGAAATTCCTCTTCAGCAGCCGGTGTGGTTTGGAGTTAGATTTTGATTTCAACTGGCAGGCCAGTGCTATATCTGCATGCAGAGTTCATGTCTGGTGGGGGACATGAGACATCTGGGCTTTAGGGCTATGTGGAAACAAATGTCATAACCCCATACATAAGTAGGAGCATATAAACATTAAGATGCTCTATATGGAACATCTGCTTTAGCTGAAATTATTATTATTGAATGAAAGTATTACTCGGGTTGATAATGCTTCACTGGGATGGCAATTTGTATGAAATATACACAGCTACACAAATGTTTAATGATTCTTACAAAACTTATTTGACAGATGAAAAATAATAGTTTGCTGTATTTAACGGCTCTTCCTTCTCCTCCTATTAGAAGTAGACTAGTTTAGTCTCTCCAAAATGTGAGTTGTGCAATCACAAATTTGATCAGTCATTGGGAAATAGTAATAATTCTTCTTCCACACAGCTGAAAGGGGATCAACCCCAATTGTCTGAAAAACACTTGGCGAGTGTTCAAGTGACAGAGAGCTTCATCAAGGGAAACTGTAGCTTGGTAGAGTAATGCACTGGTCAGTAGTTCTCCTTGTTGACCTAAATAACAACAACTTAACTCTACTTTTGCACAGTTGTAGTGTATTTAACAGATGTGATGTTTCCAAAATGTTATATTTATAGGCATTCCTTTGTTTGTGATTACTGTTTCAACGATTAATTTCAATTCATTTATATAACACCATTTCATCTCATTTCACTTTTCATATAGAGCAGGTCTAGACCGTACTCTATGTAATATTGTTTATAGTGGCCAACAATTCTTACCATGAGCATGCACTTGGCAACACAGGCAAGGAAAAACTTCCTTTTAAGACACAGAAACCCAGATGAGAACCATGACTCAGGGCGGCCGGCTATCTGTCTCGATAGGATTCAAATCTATCAATTCCACCATTCACTGGCTAAATAAAAACAAGTCTTTGTTTCAGTAAAATTGTGTAGAAAAAATGCCATATGTCTGAGGGTGATCAAGGGCACCAGCACTGCATTAACCCTCTTGGGCATGGAGTTCACCAGAGCTTCACAGGTTGCCACTAGAGTCCTCTTCCACTCCTCCATGACGACATCACAGGGCTGGTGGATGTTAGAGACCTTGCGCTCCTCCACCTTCCGTTTGAAGATGCCCCACAGATGCTCAATAGGGTTTAGGTCTGGAGACATGCTTGGACAGTCTATCACCTTTACCCTCAGCTTCTTTAGCAAGGCAGTGATCATCTAGGAGGTGTGTTTTGGGTTGTTATCATGTTAGAAAACTGCCCTCTGGCCCAGTCTCCAAAGGGAGGGGATCATGCTCTGCTTCAGTATGTCACAGTACCTGTTGGCATTCATGGTTCGCTCAATGAACTGTAGCTCCTCAGTGCCGGCAGCACTCATGCAGCCAAAACCATTGGGGGGACAGCAAAATTACATAAGCTGTACACCTACTACTTTACATTGTAGCAAAGTGTCACATGAAAACATATAATTAAATATTTACAAAAATGTGAGGGGTGTACTCACTTTTGTGAGATACTGTATAACGGGTTATTTCAAATGGTCAGTCAAATAAAGTCATTAGGAAGTTTTTCCTTGCCTCTGTCGCCTAGTGCTTGCTCTTGGTGGGAACTGTTGGGTTTCTGTAAATATCATCACAGAGTACGGTCTAGACCTGCTCTTTTATGAAAAGCGCTCTGAGATAACCGTTGTTGTGATTTGGCGCTATATAAATAAAATTGAATTGAATAGCTGACCAGATGTCGACCAAATTACAAACCAAACATCCAACACAACATACTGACACTCCCACACTAAAGTAGACAACATTATTTTTCTTCCCAACAACCCCATTTCTTTCTCAAGCACGAGTTTACTGTAAAGCCTAAAATCCACTCCGGCTACGGCACGTTACGGCTAATCACTGCCATTATAGTCGATGCCTTTGAGTCCACCAGATGCGGCCGCAGCGCGTCCCAGAAGCGGCTCTCCGCTCCGCAGAGAATACGTAGCAGGTCAATTTTTACCGCTAGCCGCGTCATGCAGCTCTTCTGTGAAGAAGGTAATATAAGCACAAAAAGGACAAATTAATAACAAGTAAATAATGTGGGGCTGGCTACACGCCCCGCTGCTGAAACACTTCTGTGACGGTTCCAGTGGACTTTGACGCCGGGCTATGTACGGATCTAAAAAGTGCCGTAGCCGGAGTCAGTGGATTCCCGGCGTAACAGTTACATTCTGTGAGAAAAATTCTCTCTCTCACGCACGCACGCACGCACACACACACACTTGCCTCACTGTCCTGTGTGATCTGCACCTCCTCTCCTTGTGGCACCTGGGCAATGTGCAACTGACCCTGCGGAATCTGATAGACACAGATAAGAGACAGTTGATGCTGGAACAATTACACAAATATCAACAAATCAAGACATTTGGAAAGGAATGTTTTCCTTTAATCCTAAACAACATTTGCAACTACACTGAAATCTACATATAATTACCATACAATGATAAATTTTGCTTAAAATGATAAGATTGAAACAATGAAGGGGAACAAAATCCATAGTCTTTGTTCTGTGTGATATCTTCTAATTTCCTCCAGCTTTGGAAGACAGCCTTTGGAAGACATCCACATGATTTGTCTAACTCACACTTGTGAAGCCTCATGTAAGCTTCAGTTGAACATTTGAATACATTTTTGTAGGGAAGGAGGACTGTGGACTACACTGAAATCACACCAGGAAAAGATCTCTTTATGGCCAGTATGAACTGAAGGGCTGATTACACAAAGCCAAATCTGTTTTGATGTTCATATGGGTATAACACAATTGATTTAAGAGAAAAATTGTACACCTATCCTTTAGGCTTCATGTTAGCTGCTGTGTACAGAATGTGATTGAAAATAATTAACTAAGCAGCCCTAGTGTGGTACATGTAATCTGGCAACAACACAATACTAATTTTGTTCAGGAATTATCAGACGATGGTTGCAGTGCTGAATCACAAGTAGTAGGTTTGATAGATCTTCTCTGCTCTAATAACAGCACTCATAAATTTCACATTCAGCTGCACCCTTTAATACTCTGTGTGTCGGGAGGGTAAAACTACACAGTGAGTTCCTCACAATCATTCTCTCCCACTCTTCCACATTAAACCCAACTTCTCTTCCTGCCTGACAAAATCATTATATTCAAGTTACTTGTTGAGCATTTTAGTAATTTATTTCTGTATTAAAAGCAGGTGGCGTTTACATACAGGAGACTTGCTCTCCCTCTCAACAGCGGGGTCGATCATATGGAGGTAGTTCAGTTTCTGGAGGGCAGATGTGAAACAAACAACTATGCTCTGCAAAATCTACTACAAACAGTTGCTACTGACGCCAGCAGTGCCACAAATCTAACCCTTCACCTAAATCCAGCTATCAGTGCAGAATGACAAATGCATAAAAATAATAATGTAAAAGTGCCACAAGATGACAGTAGCTACGTCTATCTGATTCAAGAGAGGCCATGTATGACAGTATGGGACTTGGAAATCTACAGGTGACAGGTAGCTGATTTGTATAGACATACAAGTTACTGTGATGTAGGCGACCATGCATCATAACTGATCTTACCATGTTGGTTTTGCACATGCAGTGGTTTTTTCATCTTTTTTTCAACCACTCATATGTTGAAAGCAGCAGCAAATTAAATTGTCTGTCACCCCACAACTGAAGTGTGTGCCTGTATGTACTTGTGTGCGCCCGCATGTATGTGTTATTCGCAGAAACCAGTATGCAATTGGTGCCATCAGACTTAAGGAGGAAACACTTCAAATGAAGCACCTAAGACAGACATTCAGACTGTCAAGTGTTAATGTTATCCTTGTTATGGCCTTATCCTTATTTTTGAAAAGTGCTCTATAAATAAAGATTATTATTACCCGAAATACATGTTACCATTATTTAATTTATTAGTGGTATCAAATTGTGTATCGAGAATCGTGGAATATAACTGGTATTTGTATCAGCTACTAAATTTCTAGAACCGTGACATCCCTACTATAAGGTCAACAACAACCTGTGTATGTAGACAAAGCTTAGTATTGTGTCTTTCATTATTTAGAATTTTATGTTATGCTTTTGGAGCAGCATCTGTCCTGTTCTTTGTTGAAATGATGAGATGTTTCATCCTCAAAAACCTTCTAGTCTCCCTGAGTGAATGTAAGATACCAAATAGTAGATGCTATTTGTTTTCAGTTATCACTCCCAAAGCCAATGCAACAAGCTGTTAAATCAATATAAAAAGGTGCAATTACTTATTTACATAGACATTGTAAATACGTGAACTAGGATTGTTCCGAATGGCGATTGTATTGCTTATCGCTGATTGAAGGGATGATTAGCGATTGGTTTTTCATGGGTTGATATTAAGGCAATTTTATCTAACTCACTATCAGAACTAAAATGACATAAGAACAGTCTCTAGCATCTGCACCCCACTGCAGTGTTTCCCATTCATTGATTTATTTGTGGCGACAAACCACGCCACAATATCAATGCTGACCACTGCTACATATTATGTAAAATATAATTCATTGTGGAGCTGCGCCCAGCGCATAGATTCACTCAGCACCACTGCTTGTTCGCTCGCTCCCTCTCTCTCCCTCCCTCTCACACAAACACATTGAAACGGAGCCGTGTTTATAGAAAAACTAATGCATTGAAGTTATCTCTGAGAAATTAGTCTATCTATTTTCTTAATACTGTCAATGTCGGAGACCGATATGTTAACGTTAGAGTACAGCTGGGTTGTCGAGGTTGACACGCTGTACATAGGTGCTATCGATTGCACCCTACTTCTCCCCGCCGCGCGGTCGCGGCACCACAGTTATACGGTAATAATGTGGGAAACACCGTACTGTGCATTTACAGATGTTTCTGGTGGGTTCTCTTAAAGCTAATAAGCCTGTTTCTTCCATGCTGGCATTTGACTGACTTGCTGCAACGTAACACCGCCCCCTGGCAATCAGATCGCCAATCGGTGATCTCAAGTAGCCATGATCAGACGATATGAAAATAGAGACGATCACCCAAGCCTAATGTGAACAATTCTTATGGAAATGATTAAAATATAATATTTTTAAAAACTGCATCATTGGTATTAACAGCATAATGCAGTAACTTAAACTACAAAATGGGAGCAAATCAGAAAAAAACAAGGAGACTTCATACTAAAACAAAGTTTTAGGGAGTTAGAAATAAAAACCTGTCTCTAAACCTAATGTTCACCTAGTATAATCAGATTATGAGTTCTAATTATAATCACATTTTTTTTGTTGGTAACACTGACTTTGCAACTCACACACACATGCACTAAAAGCACTAGGAAGATGAGGAGCCTCATTTAAAAATCCCTTCATAACATCGTCTCTCAGCTTGTGTGTATCTACCACTGGCTGTTTGAAAGCACAACAAGTAGACACCAATGGGCCATGATGAACTCATTTAATTAAAGGCTGTAACCTCAAGACATCAACCTTTACTGATACCTGGCATTTAATCATTACTTTGATCAATTCCACAGACACGTTATAACTTATTTAAGACATTCAACAGGCCACAAGAGTTTTAAAAAGTGCCCGGTTCCTCACTTGTCCCTTAAAATCAGGTATTTTGAGTGATTTCAGGGCAAAGAGACAAGTCAGGATATGTCACTTTCCCTTTGTCAGACCACCCATAACGCTATCGTGGGCCTGACTGTGACCTTTAGCCATAACAGCTGCAAAAGGTCATCCAATCCTTGAGCATGGGAAACTGACATAAGCTGCAATATATTTCTGCAGAACACTGAATGCTGAATGAGTCACTGTGGTGGGTGGCGTGACCCGTCCTCTTGCATGAGGTTGTAAGCTACATATCTGATAAATATCGTGACAAAGGGGGACAAAGACGCATACTGTCAGAGAATACTTTGTTGTGGGTTTGTTGTGTGCCTTTAAATTAAAAATGTTTGCTTATGGATTCAGAAAGACAGGGATAAAATGTCTGACACTCACCACCTGAACTTGTCCATCCTCGCCAATACGGTGGAACTGGACCTGTTGATTGGCCAGTGTGTAGTGCAAGGTCTGCTGGGTGGCAGTCTCAATGTGTGCCGTTTCTTCTGCGAGGCCTCCCTCTGGTTAGGAGGACAAGAAGTATGGTCATTGGTGCACTCATGTATACAGCGGAAGTAGGTCAGGAATACAGGGGAAATGATTCCAGCACACACAAGAAATAAAAATGAGGTCTCTAAGACACACACTCACACATGAACATGTAAGGGGCCTTAGCAACAAAAAAAACACGGGCTAATTCCCAGGCCATCTGTTGGATGATGGCATGTTTATACTTTATCAAACGCCTAAATACACAACAAGGACTCTCCAGCTAGCCATCCAAACACACTCATGGTCGAGCAGCCAAACACAAACTCCAGGCCTCAGTCTAAACACCCGCTATCACACAAGCAGTCTGAAAACCCTGCACGGAGCTATTGCAGCTCCACACCAACCCAAAAAAACGTCAAGGCTCCATGTCAGCAATCAAATACAGCAGAGCGTTCAGTGACAGCGATGTCCACACCGCAGGCCGCAAAATAAACAAAATCACACCTTCTCTTGAAAGATGCCAAAATGTGCAGCAATAAAAAGACCATTTGGGAGAAGTGAGGGCTGAAAGGATTTGAGGTAATTTCTTGTAAAATTCTGACAACCTATTGAGCATGGAAAAAACAAATCCAAGGAATGTAGCTTTAAATGACTAAAACGTAGGGCACATATCGCATACACCTCAAAAGTTCTGTTTCCTGTCATGTTGCTTTGAAAAGTAAGGCTGTCTCCGATCTTTCGTTATTACTGCTATGTTCTATATTATGTAAATAATCCTCAGTACTTTTGTTTGCCAGACGAGGAAGCAAGAGCCAGGTGGCTTGTGAAAACTACAGTTTTGGTCTGAGCTCTCCTTGCTGGTTCACTGATAAACAGTGGTTTTGAAAGCAGAAGAAATGCCTCTTTCTTGTCTATAAACATGTAATCTGATTGAGGAAGGAATGATTGTTTTTGCATGGAGCATCTGAACTAGTATTTGTGCTATACACTCTGGGGGGGGGCGGGGGGCTGAAAAGTCAGGGCCTGACAATCCTCCCTAGTGTGTGCTCACAGGATATTTGGGTTTCCCCTACAGTCTTACTTTTCCTTGGTCAGAGGTGAGAGGTGATGGCTCACAGGGAGAGAAGGACAGCAGGCATTGTGAGCAGATTGCAACCACCTGCAGCAATACACACTGTTTCTGCATTTGGGTTCAGGTCTTAAAATAGCTTTCATATAGCTGATGAAATAAGACCTGTTTGACTTCACAGTGTGTGACTGTGGGGGAAACTTTAAATTAAATCACTTGTCTTTTGGTACAAAGCAGCCAATCAGTCAGAAAAAGTCAAATTATGTAACTTATGTAACAAAATTTACCAACTGAAAATTTGAACCATGTTTATGTGCTCCAGCATAATACTAATGGAAAGCATTTAGGTGGACAAGTAACATTTTACATGCAGTTAACATTTTATAGAAATAACTATTCATTCAAGGTTATTCATAGTAAGCTTTGGTCACAACCATAAGAAAACTTTGGCTATCAAGATGATAAAGTTGACAGGCTGACACGACAGAGAAAACACTTCCATCCATTCCTTTCAAACTGACTGAGCATCAGTTCAAATTCAAAGCTCAAAGTTGAAAAAAAAAAAAAAAACATTAAGTACAAAGTTAATGAGTTCCATACAAGCCAATAATTGTGACGTGCTGCTCCACCAAAACCCGTCCAAACTGAAAACCATTGGTGGTGTCACTGGCCTGTAAGCCAAAGAAAATGCAGCTGATGTTTCCTTTTTTTGGGTCTATAGTTGATTCTCACGACTGTGCATGCTGTTTGATTGGAAAACAACCACAGAAACGTAGCAACGTTATCAGCTGATTTAGACTTATGAGAGCCAGGTAGGTATTAGTTTTCTCAGACTTTAGAGATAATGTTAATGTGCTCACTCCCAAAGCATTTCACAAGAAAGGTGTTAAAAGATTGCTAAGATTACTTTGATTTTTGAAATTAATTAATGTTATTTTTAAAACACAATCTAGTGTTTAACTTGTTGGAATTCATGTGAGTGAGTACACATCTGCATTAGGGTTGGGCTGACTGACTTGTTTGACAGTCCATCTGCGATGGCTAACAGACATCACAACGTTGAGCCGGCATAGTGATTGTAAACCCCCCCCCCCCCCCCCAGCAAAAAAACCCAAAAACATTTCACATTATATCCCATCCTGTGAAAGGGTTTTATTGACCACCAACACTCTTATTATTGTTTGCTCTATTTTCTCCATCAGCAGTATATTTTATAAAAGACTGAGAACTCGTCCTTTTTCCCGGATATTTCCACCTGCGATCCGTTATCACGGCAGCAGGTGAGCCACACGTTGGCTTATTAATGATGCAGCCTATCAAACAACTGAAACCAACATCTGCAACGGTGAACACACACTCTGTGTTCCCAGGTTGCTTTACCTGGTCCTTGCGTAAAATATCCACTGCGATTTGTAACATAACTTAATAGTTTACCAGTTTTTTTTTTTACCGAGTGAAGTCTGTACAAGAACACAAACACATAAGACGACTATTGCCCGCCCGCGCACCCGATGACATCGTCCATCCCGATGTTTCATTGTAGACATCGTCCGATGGAAATTTTGTAGACATCGCCCAACCCTAATCTGCATGCTTCTTTGTCATATTAGTCTATTTTGTATGTTGTATGTAATGATACACAGGAAAGAACCTTTGAAAAGGGAGGGGGTCGTCTTAGATTTGATAATATACATAATTTTTTTAACAGATTCAACGCTCTTTTTTTCTGTCTCTCTGACACTGTTGCTGTGTCTCTCTTTCTCTATATGGCTGTCATTGGTACTATTAACATTAACGTCTGAATTAGGCCTGCACAATATGGGGAAAATCTATCTATTGCACATACTTACAGTAACGAGCATAGTTGTCATCAACTGAAGTTATCTTGTCATTAACTTCACCTTCACTGTCCCCACCACAGCCTCTCTGCTCTGCTGGCCGCTGTGTGTGTGTATGTGTGTGTGTTTGTGTTTGTGTGTGTGTGTGTTTGTGTGTGTGTGTGTGTGCACGCACATGTGAGACGGACACTAATATTTTAATGAGTCATGGAGCCCACACAAAGCACAGTCAAGAGGCTGCAGCCTGATAATAAACACTACGGTCTTTCAGGAAGTCATTTGTGATGTGTTTATCGTGCATGTTCATATCGCAACGACAATGAAAATATGATTTATCGGTCAGCACTAGTCTCAATCTTAAACGTCTCATATTAAGCAAAAATCCACTTTTTCATGTATTTTCAACCTGATGATGTGTCCACAGTGTGTCCAAACTATGTGAAAAAAAAAAAAAAACACAGTTGTCTAAATAACACGTTAATTTCAATCAATTAATTATAGGAAAAATTAGGAAAAACATTCAACGCAAATTCATCATTTTGAGGTCAAAGGGACATTTGTGAGGTTATGGCCTGAGATGTAAAACAGGGGCAGACTGGCCATTGCCGGTGGTCATACAGTTTTTATTTTTTTTAAATATTGTTTATTTTAAAATTCCTAATGTACTTTATGATCCGCAACCAGCTAGCTGGCCGGTCAGCTGCAGCGGAACGCTCTCTGTGTGACTGTCAGACTGGGCCAAACTAATAATTTTAAGATTGTGGGGGGATATAACTCCTAACTTGGACCGATCCTCGTTTTTGCTGATATCTGAAAACTGAAAACTTCTTCTTCTTCTTGAGCGCAGTGTACAACCCCGCCCACTGAACACCTACCGAATAAACTGCTCTCAGCCCCACTCATCCAACACCACGTGCTCATCACAACGACCTAGAGCTGGAGGTTGAGGCAGAGCAGGTGGATGACATCAGAGGGAAAACCAGAATATATATTCTCCATAAAATCCACTTTCAACAAAATCAGTGAATAAAATTGTGTTTTGTACAATAATCAGTGAGGCCTAGCCAGTCCTATCTCCACACCTCGGTTCGCCAGTCTTGCTCCCTGACAGACTTCCTGGAAGCTGGCCAATCAGAAGAAAGTAGGCTTTTAATAAGGTTGGCCAGGACAGCGTGAGGAAAATAAGGTGTTTTTTTAAATATTAAAGGATGTAAACATTTCCTAGTAGACACCCAAAATAACAGTATGAAACTGAAAATTAGGACCATACACACAGTATTTATAAACACACACACATACACACCAGGGTTGGGCCGATCTGCAATGGCTGACAGATGTCATAATGTTGAGTGGGCATCGTGATTGTGTACATAGCCCAACCCTAACACACACACGCACACACACACACACACACAAACAAGACCACATCCTAGATAGCATGCATCATGGTCATGATACACAGAAAGTTATACAGATCTTGGAATGTCTTCTAAGTCTAAGTAGTATTTTCTGCAACGCTTTAGCAGCACAGACAAATACTTGCTTTACAGCCGCCTGATAATAATCAGTATTTTACCTCCGGATGTACAGCGAGGCGTGCGTTTGGAGAAGCTTTTGACAGCCAGACTCTGGCCACGCTGCTTGCGTCTCCAGGCGGTGCGACACTTTGAGTCGATACTTTGCTTGATGCGGTACCAGTCTGACTCAGTGATGCCAAATTTGTGAAACAAGTGGCCTGTGGAGACAAGGAGAGGTCATAGGTCATGTCATACTGTATAAATAATCAAATATTGTAGGCTTGGTCATGAATGGATGTATCCTTTGTCCAAATTGATCTGTCAGCTAGGCTTTCTTCTTTTCAGTGTTTCGATATGTTTTCTTGTCCAGGAAATGCTCCCTTCTTTCTGTTTCAGTAGTGCAGGAAACTAAATAGGCTGCTTTGGGTTTTAGTGGAGGAAACAAGCAAGTCTTCTATACTTAAAATATTTACACATGCCCTCATGTAAACTAGTTGAAGGTAACGTCAGCAGCAATATGTTGAATAGTATAGCATAGTAGCCAGGATAATTCATTAGCAACAATATCACAGGCTGACAATGTCAGCTGCACATTTTGTAGGGGAAATATTGTTTTACAATTAAATTTAAAAGGTTGTGTCTCGTGGAATTACAATCTGTATGTGGTAGGCACTGTGATTGTACGCCCTCCCCCCACAAACCCCTCCCCTCAATTTTTCATATTATACCGCCCTGCAAGCGGATTTTAATCCCCACAAACATTTTTATTATTTTTAAATACACCTGACTTGGACTTTTCTTCTCCCCACACTCAAGACGCACCTACACCTCTGGTCTCTCTCTGTCCCCTCTCTGCCCAAAAGACACAGAACTCCTCTTTTTAACAGAGTTTTCCACACGGGATCCATTGTCACCGCAGCGGCTGTCGGCTTGTTAATGACGTAGCCTAACAAACAACCAAAACCAACATCCACACTCTGTGTTCACTGTTGCTTTATCTGGTCCCTACTTGTAAAATGTCCACAACTTGTAAAGCCAGTGAACACATGCCTTTATAAGACGGACGTAAGGACAATGTGTTTATACACTGTACAAAATTATAAACGCAACACTTTTGTTGAAGAGCATTGGACCAAAATTCCACAGGACACAAAAACAACTTGATCAACTCTATGCGAAGGAGATGTGTTGCACTGCGTGAGGCAAATGGTGGTCACACCAGATTCTAACTGGTTTCCAAACCCCCCCTGGCAGATTTGTGAACAATATTTGATAAAAATAGGCCTTTTGTCTACATAGAGAAAGTCTTAGATCTTTGAGTTAAGCTCATGATGAATGGGGGCAAAAACAAAAGTGTTGCATTTATAATTTTGATCAGTTTTTTAGGGTCACTAGATCTGCATCGATGTACACTTTTATGAAAACCTCCCACAGTGGAGATACTGTATGTGCGGGTGAGCCTGGGTGCAGCTGTATTTAGTGTCCTTCTACCGCAGTGTTACGGACTGTTTAAAGGGCGTGAGCCACTTGAAAGCACTTTTACTACATAAATTAACAGCAGTGCTCAGCCTGAGGGTAGAAAACATGACAGCAGGGGAAGCTCAGGGGTATCTGCAGATAGTGGGATGGCAGTGCACGACAGCCTTTTCACACCTGATGGGTCCTGTACAGGCAGGCAGAGCAGTCACTCCTTTTAATTTTTTTTAGGCAGGCAGAATGAGTCACTAAAAAGTCACCTGACCCTGCTCCAACCTCTGCATAGCTCTATGTCAGACCAAATCTGCATGTAACTACACACCCACACTGCTGGGAAGAAATTCAGGCAACTAAGTATACGAACAGTTACGTATGCTGTGGGGGATATTTACTAAAACCTCCTGCAGGGGGCACAAGCTGTACTTCAAAGGAAAGGCTACACCTTAAAGAGCCCCTCTTTACACTGCAACAAATTAACAATATAAATATAGTATATAGTCACAGAACTTTCATAAATATCCGTCTGTCTACCATCATAACCCTGACTCTGCTTAATCATGAATCAAAGCGTTCACTGAATTGAGGGTGACTCCATAAGGATCTTTCTACCAGACATGTGCTTGTCATTTAGAGCCTGGTATGTTCTAAAATGTGTTGCACATTTATGCGTGTGTGCAATGATGAATGCATGTTGTTGTAACCCGCCTTGTGAATACAGACTGAAGTCTATTTCTGTGTTCAATTCAGAGCTGCTTTGTAATAGAACAGGGGTGAAATGTGGAGAGGTCTCACAGGGTTCATTTAACGCTTAGAGGGGGTTAAGGATTCAAACACCGGGTGAGTGAAATTAATTAATGCAATTTAAACTATGCAAAATCGTGTACTAATCATGAGATAAACAGTGGTTACAAGACACTGCCTCAGTAGTTACAAGTGGGTCATTTTGCCAATGAAGTTATCACAAACTGGCAAGTTCAAACTGCTCAGAAACACTTGACAAGCAGATATGCTGGAGGGTCAGAACAGCAAAATGTCACCTCCCACGCATTCTTATAATAAGGATATATTTTCTTTCTGGATTCACTTCCCAGGTTTGATGGGGTCTGTCAGTGGCAGCAGCTGGTACATAAAAAGACGCAAATTTTTTGTAAACTGGGCTGTCATGGAATAAAGTTTACCACCAGGTATGGCACCTCTTTGTCAAAAACCACATAGTGAAGGAGGTGGCATGAAATTGATAAAACTTCTGAACACTAGACGGTTATGATATAATTGCAGGAGGACTCACAACGAATGCCATAAATCATGAGCGGGTCCAGCTGCTTCTTGCCGTGTTTGCCCTGGCCAGAGAGGTTTGACATGGCCTGGATCTCCCGATGGAACAGGTAGTCCAACAGCGTCAGTGCCATTTTCTCTGCTGTGCGGCAGTTTGTGGAGATATGGAGCATGTCAGCTGGAGACACTGGGCAACGAACCCGCATCTCTGGGTTGTTCTCATCTCCCAACCAGGTGCCTGCAGGGTAATCATCTAGAGGAAACAGGAAATGGAACAGCCACTCAAATACAGCTGCACAGCTCTCCTTCATCAAACCTGTAGCCTGTAGAATAATCTGGCGCAGTATGAAGAAAATAATAATCTATCCATACTATAAGATCTACTTGTATGGACTTAAAGGTTGACAAATAATACACTGGTACAGAGCCACTGAGATAATTCATGTAATACAACAGCACACCCATGTGGCCGTAAAGGAGAACTAGGTATACTGTGGGCAAAGCTGTTATTATTAAATATTTATATTAAAAAACAATAGGTGGTTTGGCTGTTTCCTCAAGCGTATGTTAGCTGTTAAATCCACCACACAAACAAACACACAAACAAAAGAATGAGACACATGGCTCTGAGTACCACATGGTACCATCTAGCTAATGCTGACTAACACAGTTTTATCATGGTAACCCACAGCTGCAAATAAATGAATAATAGTTTTCCTTTGAAGATAACCAAGAACTTCCCAAGTCCACTGAAAATAACCAAACCAATAATCACAACAAATCTAACAACAATGTGGACTTAATTTAGGTTTGCCCAATTAGAAATGAACTATTCTCTCTCAAGCTCGGCCAGAACCACTGAGCAAGGCTACTGAAAACATGAATGACAGATCAGAGCATTTATCAATACATTCTGAGACAGAACCACAGGGACATGAACATAACACATCAGCACAGTTTTTTCCATTCAATATGGAGACCATCTGAAAGAGTTAGAAAGAGTTAGCCAAGTTTAACCCAGTTCCTCCTGAGCAAATGAACCCCTAATTCCTCACTCTCACGCTCACTGCCATCAGTGTGTGACTGATTGCTATCCTAGTAATCCATTACAACAGATGACCTTGCTGCACACCATTTTCATGGTGTTTTGTCAATTTTGTTTTTAGAGATAAAAAATGCCTGTGAAGTCACACAGAATAAGAAGTCAAGTTGTCTGCCTAAATCTAATAAAAAAGGTTTTGCTGTTGTTGAAATACAGTGGATAGAAAAAGTCTACACACCCCTGTTAAAATGCCAGGTTCTTATGATAAATAATGAGAAAAACATAAATCATGTCAGAACTTTTTCCACTTTTAATGTGACCTATAATGTGAACATTTCAATAGAAAAACAAACTGAAATCTTCGAGGGAGAAAAATGAAAAATAAAAACCTTACAATAACCTGGTTGCATAAGTGTGCACACTCTCTTATAACTGGGGATGTGGCTGCGTTCAGAATTAACCGATCACATTCAAACTCAGGTTAACTAGAAGTCATTACACAGCTGCCATCTTTTAAAGTGACTCTGATTAATCACAAATAAAGCTCAGCTGTTCTAGTAGGATTTTCCTGATATTTTCTTAGTTGCATCTCCGAGCAAAAGCCGTGATCCGCAGAGAGCTCTCATTGTTGAAAGACATAAGTCAGGAGACGGGTACAAAAGAATTTCCAAAGCATTAGATATACCATGGAACACAGTCATCAAGTGGAGAAAATATGGCACAACTGTGACTTTACCAAGAACTGGACGTCCCTCCAAAATTGATGAAAAGATGAAAAGAAAACTGGTCAGGGAGGCTTCCAAGAGGCCTACAGCAACATTAAAGGAACTGCAGGAATTTCTGGCAAGTACTGGCTGTGTGGTACATGTGACAACTATCTCCTGTATTCTTCATATGAATGGGCTATGGGGTAGGGTGGCAAGACGGAAGCCTTTTCTTACAAAGAAAAACATCCAAACACTGCTGAAGTTTGCAAAAACAAACATCAAGTGAAAATGTGTTATGGTCTGATGAAGCCAAGGTAGAACTTTTTGGCCATAATTCCAAAAGGTATGTTTGGCGCAAAAACAACACTGCACATCACCCAAGGAACAGCATACCTACAGTGAAGCATGGTGGTGGCAGCATCATGCTTTGGGGCTGTTTTTCTTCAGCTGGAACCGGGGCTTTAGTCAGGGTGGAGGGAATTATGAACAGTTCCAAATACCAGGCAATTTTGGCACAAAACCTTCAGGCGTCGGTTAGAAAGCTGAAGATGAAGAGGAAGTTCACCTTTCAGCACGACAACAACCCAAAGCACACATCCAAATCCACAAAAGCATGGCTTCACCAGAAGAAGATCAATGTTTTGGAATGGCCCAGCCAGAGCCCAGACCTGAACCCAACTGAACATCTGTGGGGTGATCTGAAGAGGGCTGTGCACAGGTGATGTCCTCGCAATCTGACAGATTTGGAGCGCTTTTGCAAAAAAGAGTGGGCAAATATTGTCACGTCAAGATGTGCCATGCTAATGGACTCCTACCCAAAAAGACTGACTGCTGTAATAAAATCAAAAGGTCCTTCAACAAAGTATTAGTCCAAGGGTGTGCACACTTTCAACATTCATGTTCATTTCTATCCACTGATAGACTACAAGGGAACAAGAGCAATAACATACATAGTGTTTCTGTGTCTGTATCAGCAGCGTGAAGTCATACCTTCTGCATTGAGTGTGATGAGCGTGACATTTTGGCCATTTTGCGCATTGCTGGACTGGCCACCATTAGAAACAGAGTCACTGGCCTCTGAGCCGCTATCTTGCTCTTCCTGACTCTCCTCAGGGCCCGGCACCTTTACCAGGATTGTGTTCTGACGCCTCCTGTTCACCGTGCTAAAAACAAACGCAATCAATTTGCAATCAGTAGGTCTAACATACATGCAGATCATGGCAGTGATCACCTTGTATGAGAAATTCAGATTCTGTACAGTTCTCTATTGCCTGAACTTAAATCTGAGTAAAGGTACATTTGATTATTCTTTTCCAATAACTACCCCAACATTGTTTATGAGGCGCTGTGTTGGGAAGGATTTGCACATTTCTGACTCACACTTGGCATACAGTATGAACATGAACTCACTTGCTGAGCAGGTTCTCCAGGGGGTTGTCTTCTTGGCTAGGGCCCTTTGGGTTTTCACTGCTCACTATCACATTTGTTTGTGGAACAACACTGAAGGAGAAAGTTCAAAACACAATGGTTACCTAGCACATGTACAGTCCCCTCCAAAAGTATTGGAACAGTAAGGCAAATTCCTTTGTTTTTGTTGTTCACTGAAGACATTTGGGTTTAAGATCAAAAGATGAGTTCATGAGAGAAGAGTTCAGAATTTCAGCTTTTATTTCCTGGTATTCACATCTAGATGTGTTAAACAACTTAGGAAATATCACCGTTTGTATTAGACCACAGCGTTCTTTGAGCAAAAGTAATGGAACAAATAATCTTTAAGTAAATAACATTTAATATTTGGTGGCATAACCCTTGCTTGCAATAACTGCCCCAAGCCTGCGACCCATCGACGTCACCAAACTGTTGCATTCTTCATTTGTGATGCTATTCCAGGCTTTTACCGCAGCTTCTTTCAGTTCTTGTTTGTTTTGGGGTGTTTCTCCCTTCAGTCTCCTCTTAAGGACGTGAAATGCATGCTCTATTGGGTTAAGGTCAGGTGATTGACTTGGCCAGTCTAAAACCTCCACTTTTTTCCCCCTGATGAAGTCCTTTGTTTAGTTGGCAGTGTGCTTTGGGTCATTGTCCTGCTGCATGATCAACTTCCTCCCGATTAGTTTCAATGCATTTCTCCGTAATTTGACAGACAAAATGTTTCTGTACACTTCTGAATTCATTCTGCTGCTACCATCAGCTACATCATCAATAAATATTAATGACCCTGTTCCAGAAGCAGCCATGCACACACCACGCTTTGGCCTTTCCATAACTTTGCTAGAGATTAATCTTCATCAGTCCATAAGATTGTGTTCCAGAACTTTTGCGGCTCGTCTCTGTACTTCTTTGCAAATTTCAATCTGGCCTTCCGTTTCTTACTGCTGATGAGTGGTTTGCATCTTGTGGTGTGGCCTCTATATTTCTGCTCTCTGAGTCTTCATCGAACAGTGGATTGTGATACCTTCACCCCTGCACTGTGGAGGTTGTTGGTGATGTCACTTAATGACGTTTTGGGGGGGGCGTTTGGGGGTTCTTCACGGCTCTCACCATATTTCTGTCATCAACTACTGTTGTTTTCCTTGGCCGACCTGTTCGACATCTGTTGCTCAGTACACCAGTAGTTTCTTTCTTTTTCAAGACATTCCAAATTGTTGTGCTTGCTATGCCCAATGTTTGTCCAATGGCTCTGGATGATTGTCCTTCTTTTCTCAGCTTGACAATGGCTTGCTTTTCTCCCATAGACAGCTCTCTGGTCTTCATGTTGGTTTATCCTCTTTAACAGGAAATGCAGTCTTTATAGGTTTGACCCAAGGATGAAAACTTAGACCGGTCATTCAGAGCTATTTAATGTTTGGACAATCAACCTAAAAGGCAACACCTGGGCAACAAGAAACATCTGTCAGTCACATGTTCCAATAGTTTTGCTCACTTGAAAAATGGGCGGGTTCAAACAAAGGGTGGTATGTCCTGAGTTGTTTAACACATCTAGATGTGAATACCAGGAAATAAAAGCTGAAATTCTGAACTCTTGTCTCATACTCATCTTTTGATCTTAAACCCAAATGTCTTCAGTGAACAACAAAAACAAAGGAATTTGCCTTACCGTTCCAATACTTTTGGAGGGGACTGTATGCATGCTCGGTACAGTCTAAAATAAGTTTAAGTAATGTGGTTCTGCTAGCTCCTGTGATCACAATAAAGCTTTGTAAAATGACAATATCTCTGCATTATAAAAGACTGCACCTACTTTGGCCTGTGAATTTCAATTAATCTCCAAGTAATTGCATTCTAAGCCTAAATGGATATAATGTAACATTGGTGCAAATTGCACCTTACCATCGCACTTTGTTCCAAGTTTGAGTGGCCCCCTGAGGAGACCCAGCAACCATAGGAACCTGGATAGGACTCTTTGCACAGGGCACCATGCTGTCTAGTTTGCGTCCTAGGGCTTTACACGTTGAGTCCAGTGCCTGTAACTTTGATTCAATTCCTTCCAGTCGCTGGCTGATTGATGTGGTGAATGAGACCAACAGGTTCTGGAAACACAAATAGTAAGATGCAGTATGTGTAATCTATCCCAAAATTCAAAAAAAAAATGTATAAATCCTATCCACTTATTATTAACCTATATAAAAATATATGAGCTTTGGACAGTGTCCATTATAGAGAGCAGAGAGTGGTACCTTAATAAAAGATATGTCTTGGTTAATGCTGTTATTCTCCTGACTGCTGCTTAATTTCCTCTTTTTCTTCTGAGGCCTTTCTTCATCATCTTCATGATTGTCCAGCATGTCTGGCATGAATCAAATAATCCAAGGTAATAGCACTGAGTATCTGATGATACCGAGCCCAGTCCCATATTCACTGTTTATTATACAGATTTTAAATAATACAGTTGCACAGTGCACTTAGTGTAAGTAAGCTAACATTAAAGCTTCACTTGAAACTGATTAAATGCTTCACGGTCTAAAATGGAGCCAACCACCTGGTCAAAAGAGCAGAGAATGTCAATATCCTGCAATTCAATACTGATCAGAAAACATTTTTAAAAAAAGATTGTTTTCATGTCGTTTCACAGGAATCTTACCTGTTTGGTCATCCTGGTTAAAGTCCTCCACTGTAATTTGTACAATTTCATCCAAGTCTTGTTCAGACATTGTTCACGACTGAAATAAGATAATAGGAAAACTTGGTTTACTAAACAAGACAGCAAAATATTTATTTACCAATATGCTACTATAAGGGAGAATATCTTCCTGCTGTGTCCGTTGCTGCCTCTGCATTACTAGAGATTATGCACCTAAAATTTGATTAGTTCATCAAACAACTCAAGTAATCTCATACCCCATGTATTGTATTTCAACTGTTTGTACGATTTAGGGATGTTTAAGACATTGTTACTGACAGGAATAAGTTACTCCTGAAAAATCACCTCTTTAGCAATTACATAATTACATCACGAGAAAATACAACTTTCTATTAAAATGGAAAAAATTGTTTATGGTATGTACAAGTGGTTGCAAAGAAAACTTTCAAACCAGTTATAACTTTCATTTGAATACACGCAAAGGCAGTAACAACAGTAAGATTTAAGATTAGCTATAACCTGTCTACACATGACGTGTTTCGCTATATTAATTACATGTTTTATGTGCGGCTGATGGGGCGGATAAACTATTTTAAATAATACAACTGTCTACGAGGCCGCGTAACAGCTCCCAATTTACTTGTGTTTTACATTCCTAACCACCACCCTGGGAACCTTTTTTCAGGCTTTAAGTCTATTTTCTTTTGTTTTATGTGCGTAACTACAGTGATCGTGTACAGGAATCTGAGCGCTACCAAAATGCGAACACACACTACAGTACTGGAACTGAATGCATAATGTATAGACAGCGAGGAAGGGCTGAAACTTTCCTGATCAGCCTTTTCTACCTGAGCAAAACATGGCAGGAATACACTTTGAACTTATCTGAGACATCACAAGTTAAGACACTACCTAAGAAATATAGTTAAGTCATTACACAAATGCCTCTGCCAACATGATATCTACACATATTTCTCCTTGCTCTTACCATCTGTCAAGTCTATGTACGTTTTGCATGCTATATATGTTCTGATATCAAATCTTAGAAGTCTTTATACGTAATAAGTTAGTTTTTTTGTTATGATCATGCAGTTGCAATTTTGTGTGATACCATAACTGTACAGACATCTACAAATTAAAATAAAACACAAACATTACAGTGATTATTTATTTCTGTGCATCACTCCGTCAAACAAAGGTCAATTTCTTTTTTAGTTTCTACATATACTAAGTAGACCAGAGATTCATTTGAGTTCTGAGTACATTTGCATATTATGAGGTAACATTGTATAAATATTTACTCGAGTTTCATTTGTTTTAAGGAGACCACTAATCATGAATGTCAAGGCAGTCAACTTACAGAAAAATGTAGTAACATGACAAAATACTAATAATGATGAATGCCAAGGCAGTCAGCTTATAGAAAAATGCACTAACACGACAAAAAAAACACATTACTGTACACAGAATCACATCTAAGGATGCATTTTAACCATTAATCACTTAGATTCTGAGCCAAACAGGAATGCATTGTATATGTATAATTGTATATTTGAAATACATGCAGATGTACAGGGGCAGGTCTGCTCAGAAGAGACAGAACCGGTCTCAAGTCGGGTGACAGTAACAGTCCGAGTGTGAGAGAGGGAAGATACCCAGAGACATGATGTGCCAGCCTTCTCCTTATTTTACAATAATGGGCCAATCCCAATCCAATAAATACATACGGACAATTTCGGGATATTGAAAATCGTGTCATTATCAACAACTGTTTTGAAACTGCAAAACATGTTAACACCACTTCATTAACACAGATGGGTAATATTAGCTAGCGTTAGCTCCGGTACGGAAGTGGGGTTAGGTACTGTTATTACCGCTGTTTTGAGGCAAAACCCTGCTCCTCTAGATAGCTAGCTACCTCCTAAGCTACTACAACCATGAAAATATCGCACAGCGCGGGTAAAATGTTTCTAGCCCAGCTAACTAGCTACGTTAGGCCATAGTTAATGTAACAGCTAACGTTAGCTAAGTGGGCGGCGGTCTACTGACGATGTGAAGTATTGGCACAATAAAACAAACTATGGAAATTGATAAACTTAACGTGAAAGCTAGTAAAGCATATCTGTAATTCCATTAAATGTATCTTAAGTCACGTTATTACAACTGCATTTCTGAGAACTACCCAGCTACTACCTAGCCTGGACAGAAACACGCACTAGCTAATGTTAGCTGGCACTACAATATCGGATTTGCAAGCTTGCGTGCTAACGTTAAAGCTGAAGCCGTGCAAACGACTCACTGCTTAAGCTAGCGTGGTGGTTAGCATGCTAGTTAGGCCTAAAGGCCGCCGAGAAGTAATGCAAGAATCGTAATGTATTGGAAAAAATATCATTAAAATATAATTTTGATTCGGCTTCTTCCCCCCATTGCTGGCACACAACACATGTACCGTGTAAGATTGGGTTATATTACCGTGTGAATGATGAATTCTCGTGTTGTTTGTAGAGATTCCGATAACGGCGTCGTTCCTCGCGAGAGATGAGCCCTTGGCTTCGTGTGTTCCTCACATGGAGGTTAACTCACTCATTCATGGGAACCCAGGCCCAGTCTAAAACAGTGTGCCGCCTCCAGACTGCACAGTAACTTACAAGCAACACGCATCGATCACCAGCAGATTTAACATTAACCAACGTAATGTCTCAGTTCATTATAACAACAGGAAACATTAGGATGAGTTAAGCTTTAGCAAATTGTTTCATAAGTTCACCTAAAAATAGAAATTAATGTTCGTGCTGATTTGTATTTCTTGATGGGGTCTCTTACTAACGTCACATAATGTATCACCACTGAAGAGACAAACGTGTGCTGTATATGTGTGTGGTTATCAGAATCAGCTTTATTTGCCAGATATGTTTACACATATGAGGAATTTGACTCAGGATTTTGCATTGCTCATGATGAGCTTGCTTATATAATAATACAATAATAAAATCACACACAGGCTACAGTATAGAGAACATATATACACACTATAAACAAAAACACTATAGACAGATTGGGACAAGTAGTGCAATGAGTGGAGTGCAAAGGATGCAGGAGTAAAATTATTATCATTATGTACATGTTGGAGGTGGATGTGATATACAGGTACACCTACACATACATGCATACAAGTACACATGTACACAGAGCAATGGAGCATAGTGCAAAGGATACCGGAATAAGCAAGTATTATGTACAGGTTTTATGAACTTGAGGTAGGTGGATTTGGTATATACAATATACAAAATGACAATAGAATGAAATAGAGAATGATGAATAAATAATAGTGGTAAACAGGAAACAGGTGGCTGATTAGAGTTACTGTATTATTACACAGGAATTGTTCTTGACACTGTGAGGAAGAAATAAAGCTGTTCATCAGAGTGGTGGCTTGTGGGAAGAAACTTTTCCTGAGTCCTGAGTTATTTTATTATTCATAGTATAGAGTATTTTATTATTTTATTACTTATAGTATATAGTAATTCTGAATGCACTTTACATTTGGAGACGCCCCAGATTTCTGCCTGAAAGATTCAAACAGTTGTCACTAGTTGACAACTGTCACTAGTTGACAACTGTGGGTGGTTGCTCAAGCAAAAAGGAGTAAATTTGAGTCGCTCTACAGTGCTTGTCCTGGTCAGGTGGCTGTACAACGGTTAGTGTGTCAGCAGGTGGCGGTGTTGACCAGAGTTGGAAGGAAGAAACAGGTATGAAAAGGTGAAAAAGTATGAAAGGGTGAAAAATTAACGAGCCAGCCAGGAGTCGAACCTAGAATCTTCTGATCCGTAGTCAGACGCGTTATCCATTGCGCCACTGGCCCGTAGATGTAAAATAACTAATAGTTGTGTTTTGTGTCTCAATTTTACAGTAACGATCTTTATCTTTTTTAGTTATTAAAAACTAGCTAGGTTATATGTCAATTACAATGGTAATTAACGTAAGTTAACTTAACTTCATCCGGCTGCTCGCCATAGCCGATTCTGTTTCCGTTTCGCCGAGAAACAGGGCCCCGCCCAACCCGGCATGGATATCTGATGATCAGGATATTTTGACTTGACTAAGGCATTTTCTGGATTTCCTTCCCGACTTAATTCTCCTAGTTTACCGCTAATTGCATCCCCAGTGGTTGGGGAGCAACGCCGGGTTCAGTACACTTTGACCATAGTTCGACATGTGGACAGGAGTAAGTGGGGATCGAACCGCCAACCCTGTGATCAGCAGAAGACCAGGGCCTAATTCCGATGTCCACACTCAAGAGACTCACAGACTTTGAGGCGCGTTCCCGGGAAGTCCGTGAGGGCTGGGCTGTCTAGTCTATGGGGCCGTCCCTTTTTAAACTCTTTTTGTGAGTCCGCATTTCAGCATACTGATGCACTATGGATTTGGTACCTACAAACATCAAGGCAAATCTGCCTTAGAGAAGAAGAAGAGGAAGGGTTAACAAACAAGCATGGAAACTAACAGTGATGCTAAAATTGTTCGAATTTTTCTTAAGATAGATTTAAGAGGGTACATAGAACACGAACATGAAGTCAGTGGAATGCAGTCACCTTATTACACACATAGTTTATTCAACTAGGCCTGTTTATTTTAGTTTTTGCTTAATGATGCTGTTTTGACAAACAATAATGCATTGATCATTGACAAATGTATTGACATTTACCTCTCCTCCACTGTAAGAGCCTGCAAGACTTAAAAATCAGGCAAAAACATAGAATAAATAATGTGCAACGTGTTTCAGTGTCATCAAGTAATGTGATAATGTCGCAAAGTGCTGTCCCGTTCCTGTTTACAGCATTTTGAGCCCTTGCTGCCTCTTGCACTCAATCACTTTCCAAGTGACGTCAGTAAAGTCTGTGAGGGTTCAGGGTTTAAGGCTTAGGGGGGACATTGGGATTGGGCACAGCTCTTCCACCTTAGTTCTGTAACTATAAAAGTAGCAAACGAATGTAGTGGAGTAAAAAGTACAAAAAAGTAATCAACAATTTTACCTTGCAGAACACAGGACTTGCTGGCTGCTGTCTCGATCCCTTAGTTTGTTGTGTTTTTCTGTGACATCTGTATTTTTGTTTATATTATTGAGATTATTACAGAGAGAGAGAGAGAAAGAGTGAGAGAGATGTTTTAAAGTTGTCTTCCATCATAGATGGATTTAGACTTTGCAAGAAGCCAAAATGTTTTCCCTTTGCCTCTTGTGTCTGCAGTGACAATAATTAATAAGATATACGGGGAATATAGCTGTGTGCATTAATAGCTGATGCATTAAAGGCCTGCAACCATGTAGGCTAACATTTCTCCAAACGTGTGTTGTGGTTCTCTTAGTTTCTCTGGTCAGGTGCAACAGCTATGCTCATTGAACAACAGTTCCCAAGAGCCCGTGACAAAACCATTGTGTCTGATGGGAGCTGTAGTTACGTAGTGCAAAATAATTAATCTTTAATCAAGTTTGCAAGCCAGTGGAACATGAAGTGGTTAGGGGTGGATATTTCTGCTTTCCGTTCATCATCTGTTGCTGTGGTATAAAACCCTCACCTCATATATCTTTTAGGTGATCTTAAGTGCAGAACCAGCCCACTCCGGTCAAACTATAAAGCTTCGTTGGAGTCCTCTTTGCACAACCCAGCAGAGTGTCGCAACCCACACAGAGACGACAGTCATGAACTTCCGTACAGAGCAAACTTTCTTCTGTATAACGTCTGTTTTATTTCTCTATGTCGCAGTTGCTGCAGATTTACATGGTAAGTAGGAGAAAACTAATATCTTTTTGTAGTAACATCGCCTACAACAATTCGCATGCATTGCTTCTTGCCCGTAGATGTGACGCACTGTTCTCTAAATAACACCTAAATAAATAACATCTTAGCTGCTAACTGACAGTATTTTTTTAAATGGATCTCTAATAGGAGTGAATCCGTTGTTAACTTGATGCGCCACCTCACGTGTTCGCGTTTTATTGCGCCTTAATCAAGGTTACCTGTTACCCATATGCTTATTGTGTCCAAAGGTGAAATCTTGTCCTCAGTGCGGCGCAAACTTGCCAGAATGGAGCAATGTGATGCATCACAAAGTCCTTATAGATATTGTAACGCTGTGTTTTTCTCGTAGCATTAACTATTCCTGTAGTACTGGGTAGACGTGGGTAAAATAAGAGCACGGGGACAACTTCTACAGGATAACTGCGTCCATTTGTTTTAATACTCCGACCCCAGCCCGCGACCGGAGAACATACAACAACAGTCTAAAGATCGCTTCATCGTCATATTACTCCGCCAACTTGAGCGATGTTGTGCCGAGTTTTGCCTGCCTGCCGTGAAATGCATGCACCTCCAAATACTGCTTTTAAACGCTATAATATTCTTTGTGGGGTCATCAGTGGTGTTAAATGATTCTAAGTATATATTTTATGAACGTTTAGACTTTAATATTTTAATACACTTAGTAGAAGTACCATTAAATATATATTAAATATATGTGGTGATAACGCCGTTTGATCAATGAGCACAGCAAAGTGTCTGAAAAGGACCTAAAGAGGTGGATGCATAATTCGGCAGATCAAATTTTGTAGGCTACCTGCCGAGATTTGCATCCACCTCTTTTCTAAGCATAAATGACTGTTATCACCCGCGAGGTGCATGAAATTCTCGGCAGGCAGGCAGAACTAACTTTAACTTACAGGCAAGGTGGACCATGTAATGTAGTTTCTATTAAAGCTTAGAAACAGAATACAACATATGAATATAGTTAACATTAATTAAATCATGCAACTTATTTCAGTAAATGGAGTAATCTATAAAATAAATCTTAACAAAAATAAATCTCATCTTACAAAATGAAACGTCTCTGTGCATCATCTTCTTAGGGGAGACATCGTTTTTCCTTCTTTTTTACAAGCTTGGGGTGTTAAGTTTTAGCCATCATTTCTATCGTGATAATTGTACTCACCAGTTTCATTGTAGAAATGAGATCAACACATTTTTACACAGGAGCCATTAAGGCAAGCAACCTATTTTAAATACGGTTTAGTCAAATGATTTAGATTAGATTGTTTTGATGCAGAATGTTAGCACACCCTCAAAATACATAATCATCCATTAATGCAAAAGTTGAAACAGGGTGTAGCACTGCAAGCAGACCAGCACACATACAGTTTGAATGGGAGAATGGACATGTTTGCCACTACAGTTGAACTTCATCTACCAAACTATCTGAATCAATAATGTATTTAATTAAAAAAAACTATGCTAACATAGTTTTAGTTTTCATTAAGAATGAATCTGTCAATACTTTTTTAGATTAATCATTAATTGTATGAAATTCCATTTCCAATCGTGAAAAATATAAGTGGGAAGGAAACTGTCAGAGCCCAAGATGACATTGTCGAATTGCTTGTTATGTGGATTGATGATACAATTTTTTTCAGTACTAGTTACTTACAAGTTGAAGTTGTCCATTTGTCAGTTGCAACGTATCCTACAATCAACCATCCAGAACCAACATCCAGAAGTTGCATATTTGGAGCAATAGGGGTTAGGGATATTTGTTACTTAGCTATAATACAGAACAAAAATTTAACTGATAAATTGTGAAGTGCTACATAATATTCTGACTCAGTCCTAATATTCTGGGCAGCACCTGAAGTCCACACAAAGCTCGGCAGCCTGAGAGGCGAGTATGTGAGTGTGAAGGGGAAGGAGACTGGAGTCCATGCCTACCTGGGTGTCCCATTTGCAAAGCCACCCTTGGGCCCCGCTCTTAGACTGGCCGCACCTCAGCCTGTAGAGGCATGGGAAGGAGTGAGAGACGCCACCCGGCAGCCACCCATGTAAGCCGTTCATGTGCTTCAGTTGCTGCATACCACACTTGGAGAAATGATGTCCAATACGTACTGATTAAAACATGTCTCTCTTTCAGGTGCGTTCAACAGAAACAGCTTCTTTTAGATATCCTTGACAAAATCGGTGGCCTGTTGGCAGAAATCCCAGACATTTCAGAAGACTGCCTTTACCTCAACATATACACTCCTGCAAACAGAGCTCACAATGCTAAGCTCCCAGTAAGTACCCTTTGATGTTGCCCAGTTACTGACATTCAGGTTCACATCACTTTGGATAGTGGTCTTGGCTGGCTTGATTGCTATTGAAGAATCTATAGCTGCAATATAAATTATGATGGCCATATTTGGATCCACACTGTATTAAGTCTAAACAGCCAATCTGATGTCCTGTTTTAGCGAGATTAAAGTCTTTGTTTAGTTATATGTAGTTTGGTTGCAATTCTTATGAGCTCAGTAAAAATGTCCGTTATGCTTTGTGGGGGGAAAAAAGCAAGATCTTTCTTTATCTTACCAGGTCATGGTCTGGATCCATGGTGGAGGATTTACTGTGGGATCAGCTTCAATGTATGATGGCTCCGCCCTGGCTGCTTATCAGGATGTGGTTGTGGTTCTGATTCAGTACCGCTTGGGACTTCTGGGCTTTCTCAGGTAAAAACACTAGTCACTAAACGTCACTTAGAGATTATTTTCTCACACTATAAATTTCCACATCAGACCTGTGTAACAAAATCCTCTAAACTGCAAAATTTATATGATCATCCGTATAGCTGTATGTCATTTATATGGTTCTAAACTTTCTCTGTGCTCTGAAAGACTGCGATGGTGATTAACTGCTCAAGAATTAACCTACTATGTTATACTACTTTTCATCTGAGCTGTTCCACATGTGAACAACAATTCAAAATTGGATCACTTTTACCAGCTGGTGTAAACAGAGCATGGTAGACTATAATTGTATATGTTGTATCCAGCACTGGAGATGAGCACATGTCGGGGAACTTTGCCCTGCTGGACCAGATACAAGCTCTGAAGTGGACTCAACAGCACATTCACAACTTTGGAGGAGACCCAGATTTAGTTACCATATTTGGGGAGTCTGCTGGTGGAGTGAGCGTATCTTTCCTGGTAACAGATCTGCAGATAAAGCTCGTTTTTTGTTTTGTGTTTTGACAATGAAAATTATGTCACTGCAAAGTTACCACTCTTCACAGAGCCTTTCACTTCTTCTGTTCCTTCAATAAACAGCTTCTCTCACCTTTGTCTGATGGCCTGTTTCACCACGCCATTGCTGAGAGCGGCACTGCCGCAATGCCTTTCCTCAGCGGAAATGATCCTCTACCAGTAACTCAGGTTGATTATGAGTGTCTTTATTTTTGTGTGTAAACTTTCTTTAGTGCACAATATTGAGAATATCACAACGTAACGCATCTTTGTTTTTCTAAACTGTTGAAATGGATCGCATATATCTGTCCTCAGGTGATAGCAAATGTATCTGGCTGTAGCCTTGAAAGCACAGAGAAGATCGCTGATTGCATGAGAAATCTTGATATTGAAACTATTGTGACTCTTGGGCAGGTGAGGTACTGAATGCCAAATGTATACTATAGACTAACTTATTGGGATTATTATGAAACTGTTTGGAGTTTTTTTTGTTATCTTTAAACTTTTTCTTTTAAACATTTTATTCTCTCAAGGATGAAAGATTGAGATTTTCTGTACATGTTGATGGACTCGTCTTGACAAAACCGGTGGATGAGCTCTTCCATAAACATGAACTTCTCACTGTGCCATTCATGACTGGTGTTAATAATGATGAAGGGGGCTGGTCACTTTGTAATGTAAGAATACTAAATTATCGCTGAAATGTGTGTGCCAAACAATTTCCAGATGAGCCCATAAAAATTTGTTTTATTTTGCTTTTGTGCATGTCCCGTGTTCCTATAGTTCTTTGCTCCTCCAAACTGGACAGAGGGAGTGGATCGGGAGCAGATCGTGAACATGATTTCCATTTTCTTCCCTGATGTAAGACACACACTGCTTGACATTACAACATTACTGTTTCATCATGCTCAAATTTCTCTGACAGATGTGTTGATCTTTTTCTGAAGCCCAAAGATGCAGTTGTCATAGATTTGACGGTAGATGAATATATTGGAGCCAGTGAAGATCGTGTGAAAAATAGGAAAGGGTTCACTGAGGCGCTTGGAGATATGTTGTTCACCATTCCGGCCATTAAGACTGCCAACGCTCATAGAGGTATGTTGTTTATACAAGATAATGCAAATCTGAGAACCATTGTCGGAAATTCACTGTCACACTTTCATAATCACACTTACTTACTACTAGATGCAGGCGCCCCTGTATACCTGTATGAGTACCAGCATCCTCCCAAATTCCTGCAGGCAAAAAGGCCAAGCTTTGTTGGGAGTGACCATGCAGATGAAATCTTTACAGTATTAGGACTCTGCTTCACAACTACCCATGTCACATTAGCTGGTAAGTTCAATTTTAAAAAATGACTTTTTTTAATAGACCGCCAGAGATCTGGGTATTCTCTGGGTTTTTCAGAGTGCAAAGTGTTTTACCAGATTCTCATTATTCCAGACGCTTGCCCTGAAGAGGAGGAAGAGTTCAGCAAAACCATGATGAGCTACTGGGGCAACTTTGCTCGCACAGGGTAAGAATTAACCCTCATAAGTGATAATACACACAGAGATAAGACAGACTTGTCTATACTGTGTGTGTGTGTGTGTGTGTGTGTGTGTGTGTGTGTGTGTGTGTAGGTCTCCTAATGGGGAAGGCCTTGTCCACTGGCCGAAGTATGGAGCAGAAGAAGACTACTTGGAAATTGGTTTAAAGGAGCAGGTAACTGCTCAGCACTTGAAGAAGGATCGGTTTGTTTTCATGACTCAGACTCTTCCAGAGAAGATCCGTCAACATAAAGAGAAGATGGAGCGCAGCGAGTTGTAGAAGTGTCACTTCTCCTTTCTCTGTTCCATCAATTTGTTTTAACACTTCCATCTTAAGTTAGGAAAAAAGCATTAGACATATTCAGACATTTGTTAAAGTGATATTTGAAGTACTTTTGTAGTATTTTTTGTGGCCTGTACAAATGAACAGTGACATTGGGAAGGGAGATCCTTTCAAAATGTATCTTCAAAAGACAAATTGTGCAATTCTACTTAAAAAGTTGTATGGCAGTAACGTGTTTTGTGTGAATAATTTTTATAGCCACTGTGAATATTAAACGTAAGTTTGACTCCAAAGTGCCTTTCTTCAGGGAATACTATATAAGCCCAAAAGTAAATCTCTAGTAGAAGGGCATCTTAAGTCATGGGAGACCCCTACTGTGTTTGTAGACATACTGAATATCTTCTTAATGATCTAGATTTCAGTATAAAATAAAAAACTTGTGAAGCTGTGTGAAAGGTTGTACTGTGCAATTGTTTTGTTTCTATCCCTAACTCAACATTATCCAACAAAATTATTCTCTGTTCACAGAGAAACACACACACAAAAAAAACAACAACACACAAACACTGTCCTTTGGCATGAAAGGGTTAATCAGACACAGGTCTACAGCCCAACTTGTAAACAGGGTCCAGCATGTTGGTATGAAAGGTGAACATGGGTTACTTTAAGTAACGATATGTAGTAATCTTATCTTAAAATAACACCTTCAAAATCATTTTCATGGTACACTGACTTTAATAGGAAGAACGACGTCTCTGTCACTGCCACTCTGGGCCCGAAGGACTGGTCCTGTACTATGTAGAATTGAAAATCCGGGCAGGAAACCTATCGCAGAAGCACATAATGCTTCAGGGCACCACATCGCACACCAACAAGACATTGTAATCATTCTAATGTGGCACTTCAGTAAAGCAGCAATGAAAGGAAATAATCAGTTTAGGTGAACAGTTTACATGCATTACAGCAATGGGATACATACACTCACCTAAAGGATTATTAGGAACACCTGTTCAATTTCTCATTAATGCAATTATCTAATCAACCAATCACATGGCAGTTCCTTCAATGCATTTAGGGGTGTGGTCCTGGTCAAGACAAGTTCCTGAACTCCAAACTGAATGTCAGAATGGGAAAGAAAGGTGATTTAAGCAATTTTGAGCGTGGCATGGTTGTTGGTGCCAGACGGGCCGGTCTGAGTATTTCACAATCTGCTCAGTTACTGGGATTTTCACGCACAACCATTTCTAGGGTTTACAAAGAATGGTGTGAAAAGGGAAAAACATCCAGTATGCGGCAGTCCTGTGGGCGAAAATGCCTTGTTGATGCTAGAGGTCAGAGGAGAATGGGCCGACTGATTCAAGCTGATAGAAGAGCAACTTTGACTGAAATAACCACTCGTTACAACCGAGGTATGCAGCAAAGCATTTGTGAAGCCACAACACACAACCTTGAGGAGGATGGGCTACAACAGCAGAAGACCCCACCAGGTACCACTCATCTCCACTACAAATAGGAAAAAGAGGCTACAATTTGGAAGAGCTCACCAAAATTGGACAGTTGAAGACTGGAAAAATGTTGCCTGGTCTGATGAGTCTTGATTTCTGTTGAGACATTCAGATGGTAGAGTCAGAATTTGGCGTAAACAGAATGAGAACATGGATCCATCATGCCTTGTTACCACTGTGCAGGCTGGTGGTGGTGGTGTAATGGTGTGGGGGATGTTTTCTTGGCACACTTCCGGTCCCTTAGTGCCAATTGGGCATCGTTTAAATGCCACGGCCTACCTGAGCATTGTTTCTGACCATGTCCATGTACCCATCCTCTGATGGCTACTTCCAGCAGGATAATGCACCATGTCACAAAGCTCGAATCATTTCAAATTGGTTTCTTGAACATTACAATGAGTACTAAATGTACTAAAATGGCCCCCATAGTCACCAGATCTCACCCCAATAGAGCATCTTTGGGATGTGGTGGAACGGGAGCTTCGTGCCCTGGATGTGCATCCCACAAATCTCCGTCAACTGCAAGATGCTATCCTATCAATATGGGCTCTCAACATTTCTAAAGAATGCTTTCAGCACCTTGTTGAATCAATGCCACGTAGAATTAAGGCAGTTCTGAAGGCGAAAGGGGGTCAAACACAGTATTAGTATGGTGTTCCTAATAATCCTTTAGGTGAGTGTATACAAACCACAGAAAAAATAAACAGATTTGACAAATAGGTTCTTTTCAGTTTTGTACTTTTTATTACTGAGAAGAGCGTTTAAGCTGAAAAGCTCCCTGAAGTCTGATGTGAGCAGTTCAATAGGTCAAACTTTGTTTTGTTTTCCACAAAATTGTGTGGCGTATAGCATTGAAAATAGTACAAAGCAACACTTTTCAAAGGCAAATCATTCAAAAAGCTGTGTGCACAGGACTTACAGATAGGATAATGTATAAAATAAGTGTAATTTGAGAGAAAGTTAATACAATGTGATAAAATGAAGCTGATGATGCTTTAGCTGACACTTTTTTTTGTTGCAAATGTTAGTAAAGCTGCAGTTTGATATAAAAGGGCTGGCCAGTGGTTCTGAATGATTCACTATACTGCCCAGAAAAGTGCACTTGAAGTAGGAAAGCTACTGGGCATCACCATCAGGCCATAATGAGACACAGAGACACTTTCTTGGTACTTTGAGATGCACTTTGAGCTGTTAGTTTGTATAATGTTCAGCTAACCTGGTCTCAAGTTTGAATTAAACTGGAGGGAATAGCTTTGCAGGTATAAAGCCAGGCAAATGTCACTTAAGCCATTTAAACAAACAACAAAAGCAATACATTTTAAAGGTAACAGAAGTTTCTATTTCAGATCCTATTACATAAGCACAAACTGTATAATTTTGATATTTTGATTAAATCCAGCTTATGTATATGTTATGTTATTCTATTGCAGTACATCTTTCCAATTTACATAATATTATGTCAGGTGTGGCGACATTGAAAGTATGTTTGATATCAGACCATGAGCCAAAGGATATTACTGAAAAAGATGTCTTAAGTTCAGAGGGCAAAAAACATCAGGCTGCCTGGCTGGCTGATGTGGCTACAGTGGTTGATAAGACAGCAAATCCTCTCTCGTCAATCATTAGAAAAGTACCCAGTTGTAAAACTCACCAAGTATTTCTATTGGACAAGTTAATAGAACGATAACTTCATATACACATAAATACTGGTTTTCACTGACATGTGGCAAAGAGAAACACCTGAGATGCTGTCTTTTTTTTTTTAAATTCATATGTCTCTAAAGCAAAAAAAAATAACAAAAAGCAAGGCATGCTGCTTAATGAAAATAAAACATCAGATAATGTTGATGAGTGTTAGACGATTGGATCTAAATAAAATGCAGCATGCAATTCAATATGTTGGGCACCGAAATCAGTATAATACTATATAGTAGAATACATTGGACACCTTTATCTTCTTCAAGCACTACCAAGTACAGACATGGTTTTAGAATCAGAGGCACGTACAGTTTGAGCCATAATAAGTTGTATGAAACAGCATTCCTTTTCTCCTGCGGGGAATAAATAAATAAATAAACTTTTAAGTTGACCTGTTCTCATGCTGTACTGGAGGATTTAGGTTATACTGGGATGAGGTGATAAACAGTGACTTAGGGGGGCCTTTCAAAGTTCTTGTGGTGATATAACAAGCTTAATTAGACAGTAATGATCAATGTTTGTGAAACAAACAGATAGAACCTAGAGAATTCAGGTCATGAGATATGATGATAGTAACATCAGCAGAGGACAGAGGTGATTTGTGTATAATGGTTGTTATTATGCATTGTATTGTGAGAGGAGGCTTAAAGCATGGTGCATCAGGATGTCCAAGACTGCATGTTGTGCAGCATGGCCTCAAATCGCTCCATGTTCGGGGCGTGAGCGTGGGCTAGGTTGTCCGTCAGGCGACTGTACAGACTGAAAGACTTCAACTCCAGCCAGATGAAACCAAAACGGTCCTCATCAAACAGCACAAAGAGCCCCGGGGTGCGCTCTGGACTTGTAAAGCCGTGCCCAGCGATCAGGCCGGTTCCATAGAAGCTGAAATGGAGAAACATTAATTCATCAATATTTTGATGGAACAGGTAATGGTTATGACTGCAATATTTGACTTTAACAATCAATAACTTATCATCATTTGAATATTAAGATAGGATTTATAGAAAACTCCTTATGGATTAATGCAAATTAATTGACATGGAAACTGTGATAAGAACAGGGCTGCATCCCAATAATCCACATCCACTTTCAAAATGAGTAATAAATTTTCAATTTGTAATTATTAATCTTATCTGAGGTGTTTCTTTGAGTGAGATCAATGTGTTTTCTTTTAGGGTGATAAATGCGTGCAACCAAAAAATAATAATTACAGTTACAAAAGACTGGCCAAACAATTTATATTAATTTGTCAAAGTCAAAATCCCCATTTTTACTGATAAGATTACAGCATGCAGGCCATGAACTTTCAACAACACAGCATGTCATACAGCTACAATCAATCCACCTGTATACTGTATGCACACTGCACGACATTTTAGCCGAGTTCTTACCATTTCCTGCAGGTGCGAGGGTACACCTCGTTGCGAGCCATAACCCCCAGAGGCAAGACGAAGGGCTGGGCTTCCGGAGGATCAGTGGTGGTGCTAGGGCCCGGCTGGCAGCTGTCTGAACAGGCACCATGGTCTGCCTCCACCCCTTCTGCTGCGCTGGGACCACCACAGGCCCCCTCTGCTACACCTTTGACTGTGGCAGAAGTACCCTTGGCCTGTTGTTCTGCTTCTCTCTGTATTTCATCGTGTACCCCCTGTACCAGCCGGGACAGCTCCTCTATGTTGCGCTGGTGCTCCAAGTCTGGGAGAACCACAGGCCGGTTCAGGTCAACATCCAGAGTGAGTTGCCCTGCAGGAACATTGGGGTCTCCCTGCAGGACGGAGTTAAAATTACAGTTTGCTCCACTAGCAGATTTGGTGGGTTAATGTTACATCCTCTAGGTCAAAAGCACTTGGTGTGTAGAGCTTTGTCTCAACTCGCGCTCCTCCATACCTTGGTTGCCATCTTGGTGGAAGGAGAGGGACCACAGACCATTTTCAAACTTGAGAATAATGGCGGCCAATGAAGCTGCAGTTTTGCAAGCAAGTAAAAGTACATTCATTTTTATGGAATCAGATTTGCGCCAATTAAGTCAAATAAAACTTCCTTAAAAATCAGACTAAAATTAAGAATTTGGTAGAGAATAAAACTTTATGCAACAAAAATTACCTCAAAAATAAAACACATAACTTGCAAACAAACTATTTGTCTTTTACATACTCATCTCTGTTGCTTTATCATTGATCAGACTTTTCCAGCTCTGTCGTTTGCGCTTCCTAACTTTTTGCTTGCAGTTCTGACACAAACATCTCGCGTGGGCAGGTTTTTTCAGGGGTGCATCCCCAATGGCTAGTGAGTGTCTGCGTGACAGCTCAGTGCCACAGATGTTATTCAGAGCTGCAAGCGGTTTTGGCACCCCAAACACTGGAATCTTTACTGGAAACTGGATTGCTACAAGATTAGTAAGTGGGAGTATTGACCATATGTTGTCTGAGCTGTAGCCTACTAGATGTTTTGTCGTCTTAAGTTAGAAGTTAAAATAAGCCTTGCTATGTAAGTTAGCTTTCACGTCGCTAATAATGTTAGCTAACTAGTTAAGTAATGTTAGCCTGTACTCTGTGTGTTTTATGTGATAGCTATTGTTAAAAAAAACTAATTTGCCTTCTCTTTGTAGAACAATGTAACATTGTGGGATGTGCAGACCCGAACAGATCATTCGATGCAGTCTGCTAGGCTTAGCTTTACTTCTAACTTAAGACAACAAAACAGCTGGTATGGTACAGCTCAGACAACATATAATCAATGTTATATTGAATCCAGTTTCCAGTGTTTGGGGTATCAAAACAGCTCGCTGCACTAAGCAACGGGCGGGGCACTGAGCTGTCAGTCACTAGCCAATAGGGATGCACCCCTGAAAAACCTGCCCATGAGAGACGTTTGTTTTCCAACTGCAATCAAAAAGTCAGGCATTACAAACAAGTGAGCTGGCAGTATGACCGCAAAGCTGACAGTGGGAGCTGTCAGTCTGATCAGTAAGAAAGCAGCAGAGTGAACTGTAAAGAAAGGGACTTCTTATCAAAAGTAAAAGACCAATACTTTGTTAGCAAGTTATACATTTTAGTTTTGAGAATATTTTCTTTTGATTCAGTTAGTTTTATTCTCTCTCAAATTCTTATTTTTTGTTTGACTAGATTGGCACAAATCTGATTCAATATTTTTTTAATACCACTGAACTGAGGTCAAGAGAGCAAACAAGCCTGCAGATATTTTGCCGACTGACATTCAAGAACAAATGATAATAATTTGGCATTAATAAGAAGAATCGTCATTTCCAGTAAATTGTACTTACTTGCGTTGTGTTTGATAGTATACACAGTGTATTACATGTTAGTGTACTAGCTGAAGTTTTCTAATTGAGATGCAGCATTGGAGTGGCTGTTAAAAGCTTGAGTAGTGATAACAAGAATTTTGGCCGAATAGTTTGTTGTTGGAGAGGAGGATGATGACCTAGAGCACATATACGGGATATTAAATATTCACGAGGGCAGCGTGTGTTCATAGAATTGCCTGCAATTACTTTATATTGCAGGGCGGACATGCATATGAGTCATTTTATTAGTTAGAAACCTATTTTTAAAACAAGCACAGCCTCTGATACTGATTATTTAGTAACTTACAGTGAGCTTGGTGGCTCTCGCGGAAGTCCCATGGAAACTGAACATGACAATCTCCAGGCCGTGACTGCCATAGGTGCCTTTGAAGAGGCCTGGCTGCAGCAGGTCAGAGGGCATCACGGGAGGCAAGTAGATCCTCCGATATGTCAAGCAGTTACTGTCAAAAGAAAACAGACGAAAGCCACATCTTTACCTGTGCCTCTGCCAAGCCCATCAGAACTACATAGATGGGTCATGTGAGCCATCTCTAAAGATAACAAGCCATTCTTCATTCTACAGAGCGAGTATGAGGAAAAGAAGAGTCTTACTCGTATTGACTGGTATAAATGAACTTCATCAGGATGAGCTCCTGCATGTGCTCATGGAAGATTTCTTCCAGTGTCCGGCCCCATTCTTCTTCCAACCATGTCCTGAACTCCTACATACATGTACGCACGCGCGCGCACACCCACACACACACAAATTACAGAAGGCTGATAACAGTCTGCAAAAAGTGAGTGTGCATAATCAAGCAAGATAAGCGAATAGGTCATCAAGTAGTAACAGTAATCTGATGTGACTCACCTCCTGTCGGCCCCCTGGCATGCGGTGATGATCAGTCTGGTTACATTTGGTTGAAAATTCATCCTTCTTCACAGTCTAAAAATAACACAATAAGAAACATTAAAAGGAGGACCTACTTTTATTAGCTTCTAACCTCAAATTAAAGTAGAATCAGTAATCTGTGTCAACAAATGTACAGGTTATGTAGAGCTCATTTCTATGGCGCACAGAGAAGCTTTTGTGCTGTGTAGGCCCTGTACCTGTATGTCTCCTTTGTGAGGACCCTTGTGTCCGTACATACATTCCACAGTGGCCTTGTTGCTCTCCCACATGTGGATACGGAAGAGTGGCCTTCTTCTCATGGGATCCTCCACGCGGGGGTCATGAGGTGGCAAATACATCCAGCCAATAATAAACAGCCCGTCCACCTGAATGAAAAACACTTTTAATGAAATTGTGTTCAAGTTTCCTGTCAAAGCATTAGCAGCTGAATATTGCCACACCATAAATGATCAGCATTGTGGGCTACTTCATTTTTTGGTAACCGTTGTTTTGTCATGCAAAAGTGGTCAACAATCTGTAAATTGCAGTCATTGTTCCTCATCATAATGCAAATGTCTTGTCTGAGAAACACTACTTACCACAACGTTGAGCAAGCCACCATAAGGCCCTATGTCAGGCTGCCATAAGCCCAAGATATGTCTGTATGGGTGAAGCACTGCAACACAAGAGCACAACATCACACCACACTAATCAGTTTCTGCATTGCTACACCCGTACTTTACTAGGAGCTACACAGTGCATGGTTAAAAACACAAGAGGAGATGTTAAAATCCACAGACTCTACTTTTTGTTTAATGTCTGTCAGGATGGAGTCTATGAGATGTAAACCCAAAGTGAAGAAAGTGTAAACTGAACACATTCCTGTTGGCCAGTCTAAACAGCACACCGAATGATCTGGCCTCCCATTTCAAACATAACAATACGGCAAACAGTGTTGAGGAGAATTATTAATACATTTACCATTCACACAGGATGCATAAACACTGCTGCAACTGTTTGTTTGCAAATTAAATCAATTAGAGTCCCACTCACACAACCCCTCATGCTGCAGCCATCCACTTTGAGGCCCATGTACATACAGTGTGTGTACACGTCTCTATAGTCCATGTGCTCGTAGTCCGGGAGGAGCTTCATAAAGCGCCCAGACTTCACCCGTGGGTTGACACCTGGACAGGCACAACACAGGCATGTGTAGAGCACCCACGGACCAAGGCGGGCCCAGTCCAACGCAGCCGTGTAGTGAATGCAGTAATGTGCCAAAATAATCTATTCAAAGAGCCAACAGGTGCCACCACTTTGCCTGGCATGTTTGGTGGCAGCTGGAATTTCAAAATGTAAAATAAGCTTTATATTACTGCTGATAACTACATGAGAAACAGACGAGAGACTACATTAAAAAAAAAGTAGCTGTACCATAAGGATAGTTTTAGATAAAGTGGAACAGAGAAACCACATTTAAATTTAAATAAAAAAACAATTGCCGGGACTGTCTGCATTAGGGAGATCTGTATATTGGACACCTATTACACATACACACAAGAAAATACGAGGGTACAAATGTTAAATGACCTGATGGAATAAGAACGAACCAAATATTCCACTGGATCAATTGACAGACGACATGATAGCGGTTTAATCAGCAGTCAAACTCACATTTAACATAGAGGTCCCGGCTAGATACTCCCCCCACTTCCATCTTCCTCAGATCCTCCTTCATTCCAAACTCTGCAGAGGGAAAACACATAAGGAAAATAGTAGAAGGTTTAATATTCAAATTGATTTATCAAGGCTATGCATACTATATATCTGGATCAGTATTAGTGGTAATGGAAATGGTTATGAAGTCGATTTTTAAGCATTGTAATCAAATATCTTCATATCATAATGTGAATCATGGTGTTACACCTTATGGCAGATCTAGGTTGAACAGAGGCAAAAGTCAGAAAAATTGTAACTAATAAACTGACAGCCGCTAAACGGTAAATTTGCAAGATGGGCAGTCCATACTTGAACTCCAGTCAACAGACAGAGATGTGACCACGATCACATCTGATTCACAATGATTCACAAGGTTTCTTCTTTACGCACAGCCGACCTGAGACATAAGTGAACGAATCAGCTGCTTAGGGCCAAGCAGCCACAACAAGAACCCCCACAAAAGAACATTTAAATGTTATGTCTCTTGAAGAGCTAATTTCTTTGGCTTTACCGCAACCGCTTTCTTCTACCTCGACACCTTAGAAATTGAGGGCTTGCCTTCAAAGTGTTTACAAGGTTTAAATGAAGAATACTTAAATTCTTGGATTTCATTCAGTGATTTTAATAGTACATTGCAGTTCTGCACTACACATAAAAGTGGCTTCCTATCTTACATTGAATGCCTCTTATGCTGGTTGTTGTGCAACTTTTTCAGTGCACAACTTTCTTTTCCACTACTTTGATCTCACATACATTTGCTGTTCCCTCACTCCTTGATTCTGTTACAGTGCAAAATAATTGCCCAAAGTCACCAAAATTTCCTCCCAGCAAACTGCTCGTCACTGCAGCTAATGTTTTTTTTATTACTATACAGAGTACTCTTACAATTAACAGAATCATTTAGTCAATTTTATAGAAAATTAATTGAATGACAAGTGCCAATTACACAAGCCTCAAGCACCGTCTTTAAACCTCTCATTTTTGTTTGACATAAAAAATAACAAATCAATCCATAATGTTATGAAACAGATCAAAGCAGTATATCTTGACACTGGAGAAGCTGGAGTGAGCAAATATTTTGTATATTCTTTTATAAAGGATTTCAAGTATAGCTGGGCGATATGATGATATTTGCCTTCTACTGTGTTATCTATCCCTTTAATATCTCCGGGTGTCATTGGCAATTGTGGGCAATGTTGCACATCAATGAGCTGAACTGCTTTGTGTCACTATTGGATCTTTGTGTTGGTTATTTTATACATTATCAACTTCCCATTTGAAACAATGTACCTACTTTCAAAAATGTATTGATTAATCGCCCAACTGACTAATTGTTTCAGCAATACTACTTGACATGTGACATCAACAGTGAGCTGGGAGAATATCAGGCAGTGTATCTTTATATTTTTCTATAGTATTTGTGCATAATTATGTATACGATTAAACATATTTGTTCAAACCTTCCACAGTGCAATCCCCTGGCTAATAACATGGGGTGGTAGTGATCAAAACAGTGCTCAAGGCCCCCAAAAGGCTATGTCCGGCCCTGATTAGGTCTTATCAGCTGCAGAGAATGGCTGACATGGGCCTAATAACAGTGAGAGGCCTCGGTCTATTTATTACAGCGGGGTGACTGAGGACCCAGCGACTGGGTTAACAGTAATTTCCTTCATGGTTCCCGTACAGATCAATAGAAATGCTTTTAGGGAATACATTTCAGATGAGTCCGGGCTAGGCACTGAGCCCGACACAAATAACCTGTCGACATAAAGGAATCTCATATAGTCTGGTCAACACATCTGATATCTGTTTTTAATATGTGACTCAACTATTTGTTTAGCTGTCTAATAGACGTCAAAGTTTAAGTTACTTCAATGTTCAGTAATCGCCATATTTACCTTCCATGCACCGCCTTCTCCAGATGGTTTCAGTGTTAAGGATTTGTTTGAATTTCTTGCAGATGAGGGCAACATTTGGTAGTGTTGTTCCGGGAAGCAAGGAGAATATTTCCACTAAAAGCTCCGGCGGTAAATCCGTTAACGATTGCGGGTGTGGAGGTCCCGTGCTGGCCCGATCTGCACAGCCTCCTCTGTTGACATGACCGCTGCCATATTCACAAGCGTCACTCGGCCCTGCAGTGGCGACGGCGCTCTCCGGGCCTCCTCCACCGACGTCGCCGCCTTGCCTCTGGCCCACGATCCGCTCCTCTTCCTCGTCCATGTCGGAATCGCTACCCGGATCCTGCTGGTTATGCCGCTGTCGCCGCCTGCACCTCCGCGACTGACCCACTCCGCAGAGCCTGGCACAAACAGCCATCCGTAGTCACCAAACAGGCAACATTACATCACTACAACACATCGTCAGCTGCAGTGTGGCTGATCTCCTCCTGTCTTTGCGAGCATGGGCAGAAACATTTCTTCCGACGTCACATCGGTGCACGTCGCGCACGTCACGAGGAGCGTGGTAACTTGCCTTCCGACCAAAAGCGGTAATGGTTGTATAGGCCTACAGAAGTTTGTGTTATGTGGGTTAATGAAGCCGATCCATGCTTGACGTCCATTAAGAAAGTAAATGTGAAAGGGTATTCTGTGTTTCACAACATGTCAGTGGTAGAGGAAGTATTCAGAACCTTTACTTAGCCTATGTAAAAGTATGTAGTATTTAATCGTCCATTCTCCTGATACAATAATCAAAATAAAAAAGTAAATAAGAAAATTATAAAAGTTAAACTACTCAATGCAGAAAATAATGCCCCTGTGACTTTTACACTACCATTAGACTATCATGAAGCATGCATTAATATAAAAGCAGGATTTTACTGGTGGAGGCGAGTCATTATAGATTAATATGCATATTAATATGCATTAATCGATTGATTGATTGTTTTGTTTTTAAAAATATATGCGACGGTCCCTAGGCCTCAAGACCAATTTCCTGTTTCTTTGGTTGCAGAGATCTGAGGAGTGGCTCATTTGAAGTGATGGCTGACACCTGGGTTGGTGTCTCCTGCGGGTCATCAGAGGGACCTTAGTTCGATAGGTGCGTGGTCTATTTATCTTTTAAATTGAAATTTATAACACAGAATGTAAGAAAATGTAATGTCTGTAAAGTGAGAGTTGAACAGTGGAGACAGAAATGGTAAAAAATGAAATGGTGCTAGTCTAAGCTAACGTTAGCGAGTTTAATTGAATAGGCCTAAAGCTAACAAAATTAGCATTAAGTGATGAGCAGTTGTTGAAGCCCTTAAATAAGGTGAATCTTTTCAAAAACTCAAGTGGAGAGAATATAAAAACATCAGTGTTTGATTGCTTGTTGCTTTTTTCCCTTCTGGCTGGTAAAGCTACTGTTTACTGAAGCTACATAAGTTCATAATGTAAGCTACAGTTCAATAAAATAAGCTACATAATGTTTTGTCAGGAACATTAATTGGTATAACGTTCAGTTATAATATTTAGGAGGATCTATTTACAGAAATGCAGTATAGAATTCATAACTATGTTTTCAGTGGTGAATTGTAACCCTACATAATGAACCGTTATGTTTTTATAATCTTACAATGACCCATATCTTTCTACATACACTGTGGGTCCCCTTACAAGGACGTCACCATGTTCCTGTAGAGTGCCCATTGCTTCCACCCAATGGGACCTTATTTTGGAAACAATATGTACGGTAGTCAATGGCCAGATACAACTTATCTGGTTAGAGATGATCCCTGAAGTACATATATGATGTTTTCAATTTAAAATATAATTGTTAGTTAAGAAAGTCGCAGTTTGTTGTAAAACAGTAAAGTTACATTTACTTTTGTGTGAAACCTGTTCAGCGAACTACATCTTGTCCTGCACAATATACGTCGGCAACATGTTAATGTGTAATTAGAGATGACAACAGAATCAGTATTATCACGTTATTGTAAAAATGTGCCAAAAAAGATTAAAATGTACTGATACACACACTGAAACCATTTCAACAAGTTTTATATTGAAAACTACAAATACACTTGCCATTTTGTGTGCTTAAAAAATAAAATAACAGCAAATACATTTTGTAAACATATGAAAATCATCAATGTGCATTATCAAGATTTTATATTATGTAGGTAATACAGTGACCCCGTAGACAATTACATGAAATCAAATGTCAAAGTCTTTAGAAGACAGTGATAGTAACTGCAATGAGCCCAACAACTGACATAAATACGGGAGTCTGTAGCGTTTCTAGATATGCTGGTTGGTTGACTGAACTGTGTAACGCGTTACAGTGTGTAGTGGACGAATAGACTCTGCCGACACACGACGCACACAGCAACAGAACAACGTGTAGCGTTTTTACAAGAGCAGCAACACTGACAGCTTCAGTTTACACGCTGTTAGCACGTCAGAGAGCCGAACCAAAGCTAAAAGTTAACTCACCCTGCGTTCACTATAAGGTCATCTTCTTCAATCAAGTTTCCTTCACCGGACTTCAGAGTGACTGAAAAATCTCTGCAGCGCTGCCTTCTGCCGTGTTGTCGTTGACCCAAACAAACCCACATTGCATTCTGCGCCTGCACACCTTAAATCAATCACAGACCCACTCCTGGACCCCCTGCAGTTCGCCTACAGTGCCAACAGGTCTGTAGATGATGCAGTTTGTGGACTTCAGCTCTGCTTTCAACACCATCATCTCGGCCCTGCTGCAGGACAAGCTCTCTCAGCTGAACGTGCCTGACTCCACCTGCAGGTGGATCACAGACTTCCTGATGGACAGAAAGCAGCACGTGAAGATGGGAAAACATGTCAGACTCCAGGACCATCAGCACCGGTTCCCCTCAAGGCTGCGTTCTTTCCCCTCTTCTTTTCTCCCTGTATACCAACAGCTGCACCTCCAGTCACCAGTCTGTCAAGCTCCTGAAGTTTGCGGTCGACACCACCCTCATTGGGCTCAACCCCTGGTGGGGATGAGTCCACCTACAGGTGGGAGATTGACCATCTGGTGACCTGGTGCGGCCAGAACAGTCTGGAGCTCAACCCTCTGAAGACCTCTGAGATGGTCGTGGACTTCAGGAAGAGCAGCCCCACCCTCCCTCATCATCCTGAGTGATTCCCCTGTCGCCACTGTGGACTCCTTCAGCTTCCTGGGCACCATCATCTCCCAGGACCTCAAGTGGGAGCTGAATATCACCTCCCTCACCAAGAAGGCCCAGCAGAGGATGTACTTCCTGCGGCAGCTGAAGTCATCATATCATTCGCTCTGCAGAGAAGGTGATTGGCTGCAATCTTCTATCACTTCAGGACCTGCAGCTGACGCCTCCCATCCCGGTCACAAACTGTTTCAGACTCTCCCCTCTGGCAAGAGGCGGCGGTCCATCAGGAACAAAACCTCTTGCCACAAAAACAGCTTCTACCTATCTGCAGCTAGCCTCATCAACAAGGCCCGGGTCCCCTACCTACACTCCCCCCTTTCAAATAATACAATCGTCTTTGCACATGTAAATATGACTTCATGTCATATCATGCACGAACCTGGCACATTGCACATATTTGTTGTTAACTCTAAATTGTTAGTTGTTGTTCCATTGTTGTTTTTATTTTTATTATTTTAATTTTTTTATATCGTCAGTTGTATTTTTCTCTATTCTTCTGTTCTTATATAACTTGCATTTGTTTATTACATATTTATATGTTTCTACATCTATTTGTCAACTGTATGTTTGTCTGCGTGTAGCACCTTAATACCAAAGCAAATTCCTTGTATGTGTAAAACACTACTTGGCAATAAAGCTCGTTCTGATTCTGGGAGACGCTGGACAGTGTTTGCCGTGAGATTATAATAACCATACCCTGTTATCATGGTAATTAAAATGTGTACGGTAATAATAACCGTTGGGAATTTTACCCAGGTTTACTGTTAAACCAGTAATCGTTTCATCCCTACGTGTAATGCTAGCTAACATTCACTGCTTGGTTGTCACTAGCTATGTAACTTAGCTATGTTCCACACAGAAATATATCTCACCTGCTGTGTTTAATCTAACGACTCCTGGTCCTTTCATCATATCAGTCTCTCACTTAAGTTTTTTGACATTATGTGCAGTAAACGCTTGATTCAGTCAGTGAGAGAAAAAGTTACGACGTCACATACATGACTTTTGGTCTTTTGTTTGTAATTATGTATTTCACAGAGTAATACCTCAATTGTTTTACAACAAATTGCGACTTTCATTTTATTTATTATTAATTTAAATTGACATACATCGTGTAATTTAGGGCACAATTCAAATGGGATCAAAATATTTGTTGTCCCTTGCCATTGACTACTGTGCAATTTGTTTTTACAAAATAAGGTCCCATGGTGGTCCACCGGAAAGGGAGGTACTTAGGCTTTCTATAGTAGCCCACACAGTTAAATTGCTCTGCAGAGCACATTTCGTCATTATGCTGAATACATGTGAAGAAGTAGTAGTAGACTGGTTTATTAGAAGCAAGAGAAATTTGGACAAATGGTGGCCCAAACGTAGGGCTGGACAGTTTCACCTAAAATCACAATTAATTGACCACTTCACCTTGATTACGATTATTGAACGATTATATTGTTTTTGAATGTTTTTTTTTTTTTGCACTCATATTTCACTGACAAGGCTTGTACTGTAAATATGCTCAACAATTAAAGCTGGGTTTATTCACAGATTTCACAAATCCATTAGGCTATCTAAATGTTAATAAGTTAATGTTGACGTGCACATTACAGAGACATGGTCCCCCTGCTGAATTATGACCTCTGCTACTAAACTTTAACTGAATTAATATAATCAATCAATCAATAATATCAGTGCAGAACAAATGATTTGCACCCACACACTGTGTGAGCACAGTAAATCACGCATTTCTAGCTTTCTCTCCTCATTTATCAAAGGACATTTTTGTGACAGGTGCTCTTGTAAGAGCAGCAGAGTTAGGTCTTTTCACTACAGTGCATTCATGTGTTATCGGAATAATAATTTTTTATTTCTTTATTGCAAAAAGAAAAATAGTTACCAAGTGTCATAACTTGCCTGTAAGGACATTGACTGTCTGTGTGTTTTTATGCTCTGATAATGCTAATCCAACAAGTCTTTGTAGTAGCGTCCATGTTGACTCCACATTCCTACTTAAGAGCACATGAGCACACACTAAGGTCGGAAGAGAGACGTCACAGATCGGGAAATGGCTCCATCCGAGGAGCACGTGAATACACCGTGAGCCACTAGTTGCAATTCTCAACCCTCACCACTAGATTCCACTAAAATATACACACTGAAACTTTAAGTAAGATAAAAACTTGGTTTACATTTTATTCAGAAATTCGTTTGATGTAAAATTTATTTAAAATATGTTGATAGAACAATTTACATGCATTACATTATGTTAAAAATCAAAATCAAACTAATTT